TTTTTTTATTAAAACCTTTGGTTTTTCTTTTGGGTCGTCAAACAGCTTGGTGATCATACTTGTCACGTTTTTAATTTGCGCTTTTACTTCTTCCATTTCTTTGTTTTATCAGTGTTTTTAGTTGAAATTAGGGCGGAAGTATTTTCAAGGTATTTTGTAAGTCGTTTATTTCAAAATAATCAACACATTTTTTTGTAAATTTATTTTATATAACAAAAAAAATATGTTTTTGAACAAAAAAATATAAAATATTATACTATTTTAAATAATTTATTTTTTTTAAATTTTAATGTAGACACGTAATCATTTTTTTATTTTCTTTTTTATAAAAATTCCATAAGGCAAAAAATATAAATTTTACATTTTAGTGTAAATTATGAATTAATTTAATCAAAGTAAATTTAATAATAATTATATAATATATTATAATTATGACATTAAATTAAACAATTTAAATTGTAATATAATTATATTATAAAAAATATGTTATTTTTTTGTTTATGTAACATAATTTATAATTAAAATATTATTAAAATATGTTACTAAATTAGAAACGAACAAATAAAAGTCAAAATCATTTTGTTTGTGTTCTTTCAATTGTTTCTGCTTGCTACTAAAGGCGAATACACACTCTTCGTTTATAATGTCACTGTGTTTAGAGTTTGAGTATTGGTTCATAATAATAAATTTGGCTGCAGAAAACGACCTTTCATCAGATAGTTCGGTTGCTGGTACGGATATATATTTTTTTGCAAGTTCGAGGAGGGCAGGGTATCTTATTGGCAACATTTTCCCTATCTTATTCCAATAACTCAAAGTGTCAATCATTTTACCACCAAGAAAATAAAATTCCGAAAAAAAGCATCGAGCTCTTGTGCTGTTGTGGTGTTCAATCGTGTGTTTTCATTTTCATGTTTTTTGGAGTCTTCAACATAAACAACAAGCGTTTGACTCATTGCTATGTCCAATTTTGCAACGTTTTGTCCTTGGTATTTCATTGTCAATTTGTCCATTTCTTCGTAAATTATTTTAATCATTTCATCTTTCATTTTTCTATTCACTATTCTATCTAATCTGTACTGTGGTGATAATACCATTGAAATAACATGAGGAATACTTTTAAACACGTATCCAAATCTAATAAGAGCTTCTGTATCCGCTAAAAGAACCCATGCCGTTATAAATCCGAAATCACATATTGGGATGTATTGACCGCTTTCATTTGTGACAAATATTCTTCTAACATTATTGAACAATTTATAACAGACATTTTCATATTCAAATAATAGAATATTTCCTTCAAAATTTGGTATATCGTGACTATCTCCATCATTTTCTAAAAATACATTAATATCATGATTATTCAAATAATTGTTAAATTTTCTGAACAATTCTACAACACTTGGTTTTACATGATTAATTGAAACCGACTTTTCACACCCAACTCTAAGTGTAAATTTTTTAACTTCGGTTAAAAAGGTAAAAGTGTTTCAATCATTTCCCATTCATTTCTATCCAATCCCTTCATAAATCCATATTCAACGAGTCTTATAATTGCAGCTTTTTTATTTACAACACTTTCTATTGTATCACACAGTGTATTAAAACGTGTATTTCCTCTCTCAACACATTTTGTTTTTTTATTTTTATATCACTACCACCAATAGTTTTGTTAATCTCATCTATAATTCCACACATTGTTGCCCAATTGGAATTGGTCTCTTTCACAACAATATCCAAATCTACTAAAAGTATCTTGAATACATCTATATTAGTTGTTGCATTTTTTTACTATAAGTTGTACAGTGTGAGCAGAGCAAGGTATATGGGTGTCAACTTTTGATTCTTCGTTAATTAATTTTGCTCCATTTAAAGTTGAAAATGCCGCACACATATCCTTACTGTTGTCTGTCACCGTGTAATCAGTCTTTGGATTGTATGTTATTCCCCAAGTTGTTAAATAAGTGCAAAATAGTTTTTTAATTTCTATTCCCGATGACCCACATTCTAATTCAAGAACACCGAGTAAAAAACAAAACAGTTCTTTCCGAGCAGAAAGTCCCTGACAAGTAATCCCAATGAAATGTTTATCTGTTGTCTCACATGTCCACCCATCTATACAAAAGTGTTTAGACAACGAGTTTTTGATAACTAAAATATGTTCATCCATTTCTTGTTGAAAAAGTTTATGTACAAAAACTTTGCACTCACTGGTGTACTTTGGCTTAAATGTGCCATTTGTCACAACTTTAAACATATCAAATGTCTCTTGTTTTTTAAATATATTAATACTGATACCATTTTGCAAAATCCACTTCATTAAAATACACTCTTTATCATCATCACTATAATCGATTTTTTCAATTTTCTTTCCATCTTTTCTTTCTTTTTTCAGTTTTTTGGGAGTCGCCTCAATTACAACGTTGTATACTTCGATATGACTTCCAGCTAAATGTTCAAATAATATTCGATTTTGTTTTTTCTTGTTCTCGTGGTTAGTAATCCCAAAACTTGGGTAATCTAAAAAGGATTTTTCTATTTGTCTTTTGGTGTTTTGCTCAAATTCAAATGGAATTCTTTCATTTGATTCTTGGTCAAGATACTTGGCTATAGGAACTCTGGGATCTTGAAATGGATAAATATAAGGGAGCACAGCACCACATAATTTGCATTGAACGAGATCTTGGGTTTGCCCATTTTTGGGGGGAAACTCTCTGAAGTATAGCCACACAGCTGAAATTTTTCGAGGTGGTTTTTCTTCGATTTTTTCAGATTTCCACATTTGTCTTGGAGGTATAATACCAAATGATAAACTGTTTTCTTGAAATGGTTCTGATGTAACAGTGTGTGTTGTTATTACAGTTTCCCTTTCTCGAACCAAATTTTCATTTTCAACTACATTTTGTCTATTCATTATAAATTAATTTTAAAATTTAGATGGTTTTATTTTTTATATTATATTTTAAATAAAAAAGCTCGTTAATATTTTAGTTATTGGTATTATTTATGTATAAATGCCACACAAATCATTATTTTGGTTTTTAGATTTTTTTTCTGTGAATAAATAAATGTTATGGTTTTTTAAATACAAAAATGACAAAGAAATTATCAAATATCAAGTTACTTTAGTATTTTAATATTTGGTGTTAAAGTTACTCAGTATTTGTATTTGGTATTTTTTGGTATTTATCAACGATACTTCCGCCCTAGTTGAAATGAACAATGTATATTTTAAAATATAAAATATAATAAATGTAAAAACTTAAAAAATAATTAGATTCGAGTAATTTATTTTAATTAATAATTATTAAATTGATTATAATAAAATATTATTATTTTAAAATTATTATTTATAAATAATTTTTATTATTATTGATTAATAACAATTAACTGATTTCTTAATTTAATTTAATAATTAATTAATTTTGTGAACTATAATGTATAATAAATATATTGATTACTATACATTTAAGTTGAATATTTACAAAATATTAAATTCCATAAAAAATAATTAAATTTTCCACCACCATTTTAACCATAATTAAGTATTTGCCACATTTGTTTTTTGAAATAGCTCACAGCAGTGTTATGCGTCCTTATGTCACCCATTTTCTTTGTCCGTACTGCGTGGATGTTGTTCTTCCGCTTGCAAGAAAGTTAGGGGATCCCTGTTAAGGTAAGACATGGGAAATTGGTGGAATGGGTGCACAAACAGACTGTATTGGTTCGGCTTCATTAGCATTCTTTTCAATACTTGGTATCAACAAACTTGATGTGACCGATTGGCATTTTTAAATGTGGGAACCAGACCAAAAATGTATTTATTTCATATTTACTATATTTTTAATTGATAATACTATTCTAAATGGAAAAAAGTTTGTTTCAAAATTTTTAAACAATAAATCTGTATTTAAACTATTTTATATAATTAAACTTATTATTTCTTTATAATATTAGTAACACTCAAACATACCAAAAATTTGATCTATTTTCATTAAAAAAATTTGATTAGCAAGTGTTTTTCAAAAATACTATTCAAATAATTATAGAATAATTAGTTATCAAATTAAAATTAATTTCCTTATTAAAAATTGATTAAATCATTTGATGAAATTGTGTTGTGTCATCACATGTAAAGTAATTGTGCTTACCATCTTCTCTCTCTTCACTTTGCTACTACTTGTTTGTCTATCTTTCAATATAACAAAGATATATACTCACAATAAAGGCAAGCTTTTTTGCAGGAGCCGTTGTCGACATAATGTCACTGCAATCGTTTGACAAATATATAGGAAGAAGTCGAAACTACTATATTAGTGAATTTTATATATCACTGACCATTTCATTTTTAAATTTAGTCTTGGCAATTGTGTTTATAACAATGGCAGTGTATTATGGTGTATCAAAAGAAGTCAAGAAATCATATTTGTTTACTTCGAATGGCGTTGTGATCTGTATGTTCATCATATCCATCATCTTTTTAGTCGTGACTTTCACTCTGAAGTGTAAAGACTTTACACTCGAAGGCGATGATATAGCCAAATTTGAAAAAAGAGTTTGTTTTAAATATTTAAGACTTATTTATTTGTAAATGGATTTAGACTAACCGAGAGCACAAATGCTGCTATGATTATTACGATGAAGGAAATTGTGCGTGTGTTATACCAGAGGAAGAAAAGACTGAATATCATACTCAGTGCGATTCGTGTCAGTCGGGAAGCGATTCAGACTCAGCATATCTGATATTCCCATTCTTATGTTCCTTCATCGCTATTATTTTGTCATTTTTGGCTGTTCCAATTTCTGCTGTAAGTTCTTTTGCATTGTTTAAGACTTCAAATGTTGTCAGTCCAAATGAATTGAATAACGAAGTCCCAAATTACTCAGTTCCTTTGGTTTAATTAATACTTTTGACATGTTGACTTTTTATTACTTTCAGATGTATTTGAATATAATAATATTATAATATTATTATTATAACAAATGCAAAAATTTGTTTAGTTAATCAAATTAAACATATACTATTATTATAATATATACTATTTATAGACTTCTTTTTATTGTGGAACCATGGTTGATCAATTTTCTGCTTTATGCCAAAACTTTTTAGGCCTTTTTTCACCTAAGCCTTAATCCTAATACGTGTCGCTGACTGTGGGCGATTTCTATATTTAAAAAAAGTAGCAGTTTTCGGTTTTAGGGTTTTGAATATAAGGATTGTTAAGTTAGATTCTTTTATACCTAACAAATGGGCTATATTTTCCACAAACATCCCGATTATTTTAAAAAACATAATGTATTTTTAATAGAGAAACAATAAAAAATAACAGCACTTACAAACGCGTCGTTTCAGGTGAAATAAAATGGTACAATAATAACAATAATATAGTATAACAGTCTTTATTTGGATTAGTTAAATAATTGGTATTTTTACTATTTAGATTGAGAAAATTATAGGTTGTGACATGGAATAAATATAATATTAAATATAGTTTTTGAATAATTTTGATTAATAGTATAATTAATTATAATTTACAATAAATTTTAAAAATATAACAATTATATTAATAAATATAAATTAACTATATTACATAATATTTTGTTTTATAATTAATTAATTTATAATTAATATGGTTATAAATAACAATGTTAAAATTATAATTAATAAATCCATATATTTATTATTATTGTATTATATAAAATATAATTTGTAAGTCATCTATTGTTCGGTCAGCTAACGGGGTATATCGTTAACTATCCATATGGTATTTAGGTTACTTTTCAAATTGATTTCATTAATTACTTTACCATCTTTGTCACATTTGATTCATTGTTTATATTATGTATTCATTTATTAACATTATTATATTAATTTGTATTATCTAACTTGAATATAAACATTTATTTTATATCACATATTTTTTATTAAAATTTAAATTTACTATATATTGTTATTTTATATACAAACTATCTAAACTAAAAAGTTAAACTAAACACACCTCAAGAACAATCAATTACATTAACAGTATTTTTATTTCTTTTGCATGAAATTACTTTTAATATTTATTATTATGGGTTTTTATGTTTATATTAATTCATTATACTAATAACATGTAACACTTAATTAAATAATTATATTAACCATTTAATATTATATTTTACTAAAAAATAACTATTAATATAATAAATATATTAAAAATCCAATTAATAATAATTAGTTATTATATAGGTTAATTTTTATTTGAATAGAAAATTTACAAGTAAATATTTAAAAAATAAAAAACATCTGATCAATATATACAATGTAATGAGTTATTTGAATATGTTTACGATTAAATTTTATAGTGACACATTCTTTTTATTACAATGTTGTATGTTATACATTCTAAAAAGTAATTAACACAAGAAGGTTTTAGACAACATGCATTTATTAATCAATCTATTTAATCACAGAAAGTTGATATAAAACTTGACTATCCTTCAAATCGTTTATACAATTAGTTTTTGAAAACAATTATCAATTTGTTTAATAAACAGAATAATATTCACTCATATAATTAATAACATTTAAAACACACTAATAGATACATTTAAACAATTGCACATATATCCATTAATCGGTTTTTGTGGCAATAATCTTATCTTCATATTATATTGTTTTAAATAATTGTGTCCAATTGCTTGTTCTTTTTTATTGTTATTATTATTTGTATTATTAAATACCAAAAGGCACAACACATATACTCGTTGCTGATGCCTCAAGGAGACTGGATTGAGATTGAATAATGAGGTCATTGAATAGTGTAAATACCACAAACTACGTGTACAAAACAAATTTAATTTGTTTATGACTTCGTATCACATTTTTAACAAAAGTTTGAGTTTATACACGTTTGAAAAGTTTCAGAAAAAAATCTTAGGAAAAAACCATATTTTACTCTAAAACGAACTTTAAACACCTAATATTTATCAACATATTGGTTTTTGACGAATTCTATATGGTCAAAATGTAAATAATAACCAAAACAAGATTAATGAATTAAAGAACTACTTTTTTGATTTCCTTGACATCAAACAGAGCATTTATTGTTTTGTCGTTCATGTTGCTTTTCAAAATATTTTTCAGTCGAGAAAATGATCTTTCGACAGTACACGATGTTACATTTAAAGTTTCAACTTTTTGTGAATAATCCAACAACAATGGAAACAATGCAAGATCACTCTCGTTCATTTGGCTGAAAACTAAAAACGAGGTCACATTGTGAGTTATGATGAAAGTTTCTTTTAATTGGATTGCCCCTTGTTCCCTCGAATTTTGTATTTCCGCCGCCAGAATTTTCGAGTTTTCATTTTTGAACAATTCCTTTTTACCGTTTACTTTTCTCCTTTGAAATTTTCAATAATTTAAAATGATTTGCTTTTCACATTCGATTTGTTCGTTGTTGACAGCTTGCAAATTTATCATTATTTGTTGATTATTCCTTTTCCACTCATTAAATCTTGTTATTTCCATGTTTAACTCAGAAGAAGTGTTTTGTTTTACTTTCTCGTATTCTGGAAGAAAACAAGAATTTAACGCGATCATGAATTCGGGTTTACGTTCCTTTTCACCCAATTTCGTGAAGTCATCTAAACTGTTAATTGACAATTCGTTTTCCTTTGCAAACCCGTTTAACTTCAAATATTCTTCTTTGATTTTTCCTGTTGGATTTGAGAAGCGTACCGAAAAAGCCTGGACCAATCTGTTCACGATAGAGTAACACACTTGATGCACACCAGACCTTTCGGAAAGACTAACATGATTCAAGAATGGAAGTGAAAAAAGCACATCATCTTCAGAATCATTAATTTGTGTTTTGAAATCGATGAGAAAATGATGAGATTGATTATTCGTCTGTATACGATAGAAAAGGAAATGTTACGCTTTTGAAGCCAGTCACTGACAACTTTGACTTTGGTGATTATATAATCAACGAAATACAAAATGGCAACAAAATTCTCATCTCCAAGCTTCGATGTGAAAGTGATTGTCTCGATCGATTTCAACTTTACATTTAACAATGATTCACTCAAGTTGGGAGAAACCTTTCCAAAGTATTTTTTAAAAAATGACTTTTTTTCACTTCTGCTCAACTCGATTCGTTGTAAATTTGGCACTCTGGAGTTGAAATTCTTCATTTCAAAATAACAATCGAACAACATATTTGATATTGTTGCGATATAAAGGAATCTTGTATTAGAATAATGCGGGATGTTTAGAGCAACTTCTGTTGTCCTTTGTTGTCAACAAAACCGCTCTCAGAGTGTTCTAACGTTGTCGGTTGTTAATTTGTACAGATATTTCTTGATTATTGCGACCTCTACAATTTCGTTTATTTTCTCGACAGCTTTACTTAGCCTATGGCTAAAACGGTAATTGGATTGAAATAGATCTACCAGAAAGCCTTTTGTACTTAGCCAATTTGTTATTTTACCAGAAAGTCCTCCTTCTTCACTGATCATTGTGCTTGCCCCGTCAAACGTGACAGAAGAGCATTTTTTGAAGTCAAATTCAAATTCCTCGCCAACAGAAACTATCCACTTTAACCAATTTTCGGATGATGGCTTCCCTATAAATTTTTCAATTTTCAGTTTAGACTCGTTCACCTCGTTGTTTTCACTTACTGACCTTGAAAACAGACTGAAGTGCTCACTGGAGCCATATTTTGCGCCATCAGCCATAAGACCCACACACTTTGCTTTTTGAAGAAACTCTTTAGTTTCGTCATTCTTTACATCTGCGATCAACGAAATTCGCCTTTTAATAGTGGATGCACTTAGAGAGAGTTTGAATGGTTTTATATTTATTTTTGAAGCATCAATAAAGAAATTGAGGAAACCCACTACATCTTCTATTTGCGTTTGAGACAGCCCACTCCCTGCACTCATAAAAGAAAGATATAATACAATAAATTCACCCAATTCGCATCCCTCTGACCTCTTGTTAGTTCTTTTCCATTGGATGTTATCTCAGAGTTGATGTGGGCTTCAATTGAGTGGACAATTTGTTCCTTGACATACTGATTTCCTTTTTCGAAGTTGGATTTCAACAACTTTACCATTTTGATCAGTTTGAGTTCTTTTGGGCTCTTGCGTTTTAAATCAATTTCTTCAGGTTGTGTGGCATTATGGATGGAATCAGAGATGTCTTCACAGTCCATTAAAGTAACTTCGTCTTCTGATATCATTTTGTCATCATCATATTTATCATCAACAACGTCGACGTAGTTTGCTTCTTCGCAGAAAACCACATAATCCAAGTTGTTTAATGAACTCTCCTCGTACCTTTCTGATAACCCTCCAATTTCTTTTAAGACAATCTCTTGTATAGACGCCACCCAAGAGCCAAACAAATCAAATTCTTCAACAACGAAGGAAAGACTCACTTCGTTGATGTTAAGTTCTTCGCAAATTTTTTTGTGAGGTGTAAGTCTTGAATCGTAAAGAGCCCACAGTGCAAGCTTATTCAGCATTTCGTGTTTTTGAGACCAAAGAGTTTCAACAGGTGTTTTTTGTGATGCAACATTGAACGCGTGAACATCAAAAACATGTGTTGAATGGTCTCTTTTGGTAACAAGTTTGTTGCACAGCACGCAGTAATATATATTTTCAAATAATTTGTGATTATTTTGTTTAAATGTGGGACTGACTAATAAAGTCTTTTTGAAACGCAGACTTTGCCATCTCAAATTTCCTCTTTCGATATCGGCAGTTGTGGATGTGGTTGTCCTTTCTTCTTCAGCATTCAATCTTCTGGCCTTTTGGTGGAACCCAAGAAGACAATGACAATGATCAATACGGTAAGTATTATCATGAGTGTTATTAAAATAGCAATTATCATTTAAGTTTTTTTGTTGTTTTTTATCTAAAATAACTATAATAATACAATTATTAGATTAATTACTAGTAAAAACCATATATTGTTTTGAAGTTTACAGAGAGTGTAGATCCTGATTTTAAAGCGTGTTGACTTTGTTAAAAGGTATGTTGTCGTTAACCGATACGTGGTGTGAATCTTGGACGCATTTTGACACTTTGGCTCATTATCAACTCATGAAAATGACTACATTATGTCAATGTATGTTTAAGACACTTCAGATTTTTCGCAAAGTGCGGAAAAGAATTTTTATAATTCGGCATCTACTTCAACAGAGTTTGTGTTTTCTCTGTAGTGCACAGCATTTGTTCAATTAAAAATTTGCCTATTCAAATACTTTTCGTTGCATAGCATAATTTATTACATAAATGCAGTCGTCTCTGTAACAACAACAAAGACGACATGAGACGACAGTTTGTTTGCAATTGAAATAATTTTGACTGATTTAATAAATGGTTCGCTCCAGATGTCGAACATCATGATTGCTTATATAATTGTTTTATATTTTTTTCAGTCTGATAAATACTTGGCTGAGACAATAAATGACGCGCTTTTATTTTAGACAAAGTGAATGTATTATATGTCGCATTTGGTTGTTTTTGCAATTAAATTGTCATTACTTTATACTCGTTTAAGAAAAGGAAAATATTTAATTTAATTTGTTATTTAAAAAAATGTTTAATTGAACATATTTTTTATTTTAATATAATATAAAAAATATGAATTATTTTTTTAATAATATTATATATATTATATTAAATAAATATAATTAATATTTAAAATAATCATATTAATTATTATCAATTTTTCATCAAACATTAAAAAAATAGTTTAAACTTTGTTGTTTTAAACTATACATTATTAGTAATAAAACAATATTTGTTTTTAATATTTTTATTAATAAAATTAACAATTGTTTATTTTTTGATTTTTGAACTCAATAAACAAACACTAGGGTTAATTATCTTTCCGAAATTATTCAGAAAAAAAAAGAGTTTTTTTGAATGATTAATTATTGTTTTTATTCAGTTAAAGATTTTTTTATAAAATAGTTAAATTATTTAAAAGAAGTAATAATTTTTTTGGAGATAAAACCCCGTTATATTACGTTTATCATATTTCAATTATCTGCTGAATTACAACGGTATATTCGGCAAATATTTATATTTTTCTTCAACAATTGGATTTCAAATGGTTTTGCTTCTTTTGTGTTCCTAAAAATGTTTGTTGCAAAAAATACAAAAAACAATATAATTTTGTTTTTTGTTTAATAAACAAAAAAATCAGTTTAATCCAAAAATAATCTGCAGTTTTGGGACTAGACTATTTAGTAAACAGGCTTTTGATTAACCATGGTTGAAACAATAATAATTGATTATGAGACATTTAAAAATTATTGGTGGAACTAACTTTTGATAAAACGATAGTTAATTAAAATGTTAACTGTCGTTTCTTAATAATTATTAAAATACAGATGTGGTATTCACCCTTATGTGATACCCGCAACCTTATGCGATTTTCTAAATATAAAAAACTATAAATGATAGAAAAAAATAAATACTTTTATTATTAAAAAGGCAAAAAACACGGTTTTATACAAAAAACAGAGAAACTGAATTATGAGGCTTATGCGATTACAAAAATAAAAAAGATTGATTTGGAAAATATAAGAAGACAATTTAACAAAATGAAAATCAACAAAAGGAGTTGAACTAAAATGAACTAATATATTACACTCTCTATACAAAGAGCGAGTAAAATAAATGGTAGAAGACGTGTTGCCTTCTACCAGCAAAGAAGTCACAGATCTTCTCAACATATGCAGACAACCAGCCCGGCGTGCTCATCCAAGTCTTTGAGGGCGAGGCATCATGACGTCCCATTTCAACATACTTGGCAAGTTTGAGTTGTGTGGCATCCCATCCGCACCACGTGATCTCCACAAGTGGAAGTCACAATTGACATTGATGCAAATCGTCTCGGCTGAAAACAAGACAACAGGTAAAAGAAGAACAGGATCACAATCACAAACGACAAGGGAATACTTGCAAAGAAGCAAATAGACAAGATGGTTGAAGACGCAGAGAAGCTCAAGGCAGAGGATGACAAGATGAAGGAACTGGTCGAGGCGAAGAATGGACTTGAGAACTACTGCTACTCGATGAAAAACACACTCACTGAGCAAATTGCAGCAAAGCTCTCACCAGACGACAAGGCCGCAATTGAAGCAATTATTAACGTACACTCGACTAATGAGTTTTGAACACAACACTGTCATGTGTAGCAGCTGGAAGACTTTCAAAGGAGCAGATAGACACAATCGTTGCAGACGCAAAGGAATTATTTGTTAAGTGTCTTATAACTCGTTTTTATTGAAAAAGGTTTAAAATTTATTTCACACCATGGTCAAGATTTTTTATTCATTTCCCGATTGTTTAAAAAAACAAAGAGATAAATAGCTACAAATCGGGTTTAAGATGAAAAATCTTAACCATGTTCACATTGATCGGACACCCTTTGTTCTGAATTGTCTCAATTAATGTTGATGTTATTTTCTTCATAAAAATGATTGTTTTATTAATATAAATGGAAATAACTAAAATAACTCATGATTTGATTTATTTTTGTATGGTTTTTCATAATAATAATAATATCAAAAATTATTCTAAAAAATCGCATAAGCCTCAAGGTTTCACATAAGGTTTAATGACCATACTGTATATTGTTGTTTTTGGTAAATTTACCATATTTATAGTGAATGTTTAATAGTATTAAAACAATGATAAAAAACCATTGTGAAATAATGTTATTTTTGAATAATAACGCTATTTTACTATTTTTTATAAGGATTTTTATATTTCTATTATATTATATATTAACCTTAGCAAGTCAACTGAATCAACTTTTTTTGTGGGAAGGTGAAATCTGGATAAGATTTATCTAGATCATATTTATTTTTAGAATAATTAAAAATAAATTCAAAACACGAAATCGATTAGTTTTAGCGCAAACTACTGGTCTTTACAGACCCATGTTTCCTATTTTCCATGTGTTCCAAGTTGTCAATGCTTGCTGTTACGAGACATACACATGAATTTTCATGAGAGCGCTTTGAAATTTATCAATTTTTCATTATTTAAATTGGTTTGTGACACACCGTTCTTAATTTAAGATCTTTTTAGTTCAAAAACAAAAATAAAAAAAAGAGACTTATTTTAAGTAAAAAAAATCAAGGATATAAATTATCAAGTTTTCACTTCGTAAGGTTAATATATCTTTATTTAACATTAATTAATAGTATATAAAAGATATTTATTATTATTTTATTATATTAACACCTTAAATTAAGCAGGGCTGCAAACCGGATTCAACTGGTGGCTAGCCCGTGTTAATTTTTAAATATTTTCAGTCAGAATTTGTGTTTGGAACTATTATTTTTAATTCGTTGAATAAATTAATTAGGATTTGTCAGCCAGTAGTGATAAAAAAATGGCTAGCCACAAAATCGTCCAAACTATACACATTCTAAAATGATGGTAAAAAAGAAAACCAATTAAATAATGAGGAATAGAAAGTATAGTTTTATGTAGTTTTGAAAAGCCATAACAAATCTCCATGTTTTTTTAATAGTTTCAAAACATAGTAAATTAAATTAATGGTAATAGTTTGTTGTTTGTGTCAAACAAAAAATACATAAGTAAATTATAGTAATAAATAATTATTTATTCAAAAAAGAAACACAAAAAACAAAAAGACAAAAAACAATTTGTTATACCATTTTATTTTTGTGTTTTTGATATAATGATAATTTTGTAAAATTGTAATGTATCACAACCATCTTTATTTTAAATAATTTTTATAACATAAATATGAACATTTAATTGTTTGATGTGTTGTGTTTTCATCAACAGACATTTCTTGTTTTTTTATGTAATAATAATTAGGATTTTTGAAGTGTTTTAATAAAATATTCTACAAAATGATGCGCTACTTGATAAAATAAAGTAGATTGTTATTTGACGTGTACTCAAAATACATATTCAAATAAATTACCCAAATTTAACACTTTTTGAATTTAAAATAAAAATGAAAATGTTCATATTATTCAACACTGACAATTTGTTTTAATAATAACCATATAATAAAATAGTGTAACATTAAACACAACAACTCAAAGACTATTTAACTGTGTTTGGATAGGAATTATACACATAACTAATTATAAATAATATGTATTTTTTAAATGTAAAATAAATTGTTTTTGCTTGTCAAAACAAATTGTTAAACTTTGTACAACTCGATCCAAAGTTGTTAACAACTTGTATTGAATTTTGAATATAAAACTATTATCATGTTTTCATTATCGATGTGCTGTTTAGAACACAACGAAATGAACATAAAATAAATATATACATATGGTATCGTGCAACCTTGTAATGTCAATTTATATTTTTTAATTTTCATTTAATGAAACAACAAACTGTCATATAAATTAATTTGTGTTTTAATTTTAAATCACTTTATTCTATATTTTAGTTTTAATAATGATGGTATTTAAATTGAGAAATATATCCAAACTCTTTTTGTGTTTTGTTTGATACATTGATTCGTGTTTAATGAATACAATGAAACAGTGATTACTATAAAGTTTGAACAAGTTAAATTATATGTCAAGTTCTAACACAGAATGTAATGACAACAATTTTATTTTACTTCAATCCAATGACATTTTCCAATTATTTATTTATGCCATTCAATAAAATTTTTTTCTCAAAAACTTATTTGTTTTTTTTAGTTTTTGGGTTAAATATTTAAATTTTTTTATTTGTTTTTTTTTTGGTAATAATGTGTTTTTCAAAACACTTTTGGTCTTATTATTTAAAAAAGCGAATAAAGTGCAGTTTTGAGCATATTATTCAAAAACATTCCCAAAACAGCATATTTTTTAATTTTTATGATTATTTTCGTTAAATTGAGCAAAAAAATTCTTTTGTGAATAAGATTATTTATTTTATCCAAAAAGATAGAATGCCATTTTTTCTTTTTCAAAAAACGATTATTTAATTGAGGTTTGCAGCCCTGACAAGAAGTACTCAGAGAAATATAGTAAAAATCTAGTTTACTGAGAGTAGTCTTATTTTCAGCTAACTCTCAATTGTAGTGATTTCGAAAAATGATACATTTTATGGAAAAAAAGATTTTTTTCTTGAAATCTTGATTCGCTCAATTTGAAAGAATGACAACAATCACACGCGATAGCTTACTATCATATAGTTCATCTGAACCAACGGTTGATCGTAACGGGATCGAATACTATTATGGCCACAAATTATTTGAAGATCGTAAAAATGACACTTTGATATACCGCTTCCGTGCAGCATATTTTTATTTCTCAAACGTTGTGTACAAAATGGAGTGCTCGATCTCGTCATGTCTCACTACTCAACTCATGACACTTCCTTTATGTATTTACACAAAGAAATATGCTGATGAGAAATACTTGAAAGTGAAAGAAACAATTCAAAACAATACCACCACGAATGACATCTACCAAACCTTTTGTAAAGAGTACAAATATCTCTTAGAAGTTACTCTTTCTGTGACAGACGAGAACAAGGAACAACCAGAACAGTGCGTAGAGAACGACGACGATATGCTGAAGTTTATTAATTACGTTACGAAGAACGCAAAACTCCTCTTAAGGATATGGAACGCCACAAAGTACGTCGAACAACGATTTAACAACGACTACTGTGAAACAAAGAAATCTATCATGTTCAAAGACATCACCTATTTGTCTGAGAAAATATTATATAAAGAATTGGGGACAATGTGTATCGAAAACGTCACAGATGATGTCGAAAAGGAAAGATGCAAATTCGATAAGCTTCAGAATGACGTTCTTAACAACAACGAAGAAATCAATTATTATTTTGAACGATATATGAATATATACAGTGAAGTCGCTTGCGATATCGACCAATTTCTCTTTGAGAAGATACACAAGAACCTCGAAGAGGCACAGAAGTTACTCAAAATCATAACGGATGGTTCAATACTCTTTAAGGGACAGACCGACCCTCTTTATGCTCTTTCATTTCTATTGGACAGTCGAAGTCTGCAAGTGTCTATTCAAACATTAAACGTTTACTTGAAACTGCAAAGCGATATAATCAAGAAGTTGGCCTCTTCATTTCCGTCGTTACTTATTATGAAATGTTTTAAATCTTTGGAGACGAAGGAACAACGAGAGAAGGGAGCATACATAGTGAACGACTTGCGTGAACTTGCGGAGAAGTTTTATTTGTACGCTTCACAACACGAGAACACGTTTGTCCACGACGCTCGAAACAAACTCTCATACAACGCGGCGAAGAAATGTGAGAAGTTTGTTATACTAATTGGGTTGCTGTTGTTCAAGGTGGAGAATTACAACACTGATTTTGTATTCACCTTTTCGACGTTGTTGATGTACTTCTACATGAAAAGCATTCGAACTGTTCTTCGGCGAACTGTGTTACTTGTGGCGTCGTATACCCAAAAGAACGCGGACCTCTACAAAATCCCGAAACAAATGCCGGGACCGACAAAAGATTTTTGGGTTGTCTTTGGCGATGAATTGATGATGAGTCTTGTCTGCACTTTAAATGAAATAGTTGAACGAAAGGAAGACTTTGGATGTACTAATCATATTGGGGAGAGCTGTTTTGTAGCAAAGACGAATGTTTTTGACGACGAAGAGTTGCGAGTGATATGGGGTGTGATCAATCAAGTCGATTTTAAGCGGGAAGATGGGTTGAATCCATATGAGATGTACGAAGTCTTTACGAAGAGAGCGCGCATACAAACGAAGATCGACGAAATGCTTGAAAAGGATGTTGATGAGATAGACGAGGACGGACTGTTTGGCGATTTGACGTTTTTAAATAATTATCGAGGGAATACTTTTATAGGGAAAAGCAATGGGATGCCTGTGTCCGTATCAAAGAGTTGTTTTGATGAGACTGAAAGTGAAGAGAAAGTGTGTGAGAGTGTGGATGTTGAGAAACAAGGCGAAAGGAGTGAGAGGCCACACACGCCCAATATTGTAGAGAAGAAAGACGGTGAAAAGAAGAATCTGATGGATGAATACATTTATGTGAGCCCAAACCCGATACGGAGAAAAGAGTTTTTTATTTCGGAGCATCTGTATTCTTTAGTGAATGATACTCAGTACCAAACTGATGAGTTGGAAAACTACGTTCCGGTTGGTGTTGATTTTATAGACACGTTTGAAATCAATTTGAGAAAGAAAGTTCGCGAAGAGATAGAAAGAGAGAAGCCGGAGCTCCAGAAGAAACTTGATAACGAGTTTGCGATATTTGAACAGAAAAAAGCGCAGAAATTGGAACGAAAAAGGACGATGGAGCTTTTAAACCGCCAAGAAGTGGAGGAGAAACAGAGGAAGGAAGAAGAAGGGAGACACGAAAATGAACGACAGGAGAAAATCAAGAGACAACGGTCGGAACAGTTTTTAAAGAAGAATGAAGTGATTAGGAAATGCCACTTTTTGACGAAAGAGGAGGTGGCACAAATGCCGAATGTGTACTACAACGTGGAAGTGAAAAAACAGACGAGGAAGGCCCGTATGAGTATTGGAGGACAACCCCAATTAAATGAGAAACCGAAGTTGTCATCACACTCGAAAAGCGATTTGAAGAGCGAGTTTGTTGGGTTTAATGAGGTGGACAGCACGACGGAAGGTGTGAAAATGACAGCAAAAAAAGAAGTGAAAGTGAGAAACGAAGAAGAAAATGAAGAGGTGAAACCAATCAACGTGAAAATGACAATTAAAGAGGAGAAAAGTGAAATGAAAAATAACACAACAACAACAAAAGGAACAAAACAAGGCGTCAAGATGTCCTTTGCGAGTGAAAGCACAAAGAATGATAATAATGTGAGTAAAGAAAAGGAACAGCCGAAATTGTCATTTAAAGATGAAAGCACGAAGAAAGTAACTAAACAGAAAGAACAACCAAAATTATCGTTCGCGGGAGAAAGTACAAAGAAAGAAACTCGTCCCGTTGTCAAATTGTCATTCAAAGATGAAAGTACAAAAGAAAGAGCCACAGAAATTGTCATTTGCAGGAGAAAGCACAAAAAAATCCACCAAAAAAAACAACGAAAAAAGTCGTCAAATTATCGTTTAAAGATGAAAGCGCAAAGAAAGAGAATGGTGAGGATAAGATGTGAAATAGATATAAATAATGGATTGAATGCAATACATTGATTGTTTAGGTATTATTAACTTACTATTACAATTTACTATTACAATTTACTATTAAATTATTTTATAAATTATTATTAAATTATTATTAATAAATCCCCAACGATTCAATAAAGGACTTTAACTCATTCAATCAGTTATCGTGTTTTTAACACCTACAAATCAGCAAAGTTTTCAGGAAGCACATTGATCTTTGTTGAATAATAGTCCATTAAGTCTTTTAGTTCATTCATCTCACTGTCTAACACGAAATTAATTGCAACGCCATTTCTGCCGAAACGGCCACTCCGCCCGATTCTGTGGACATAGACTTCCCTGTTGTTGGGGAAGTCATAATTCACGACTAAACTGATTTGTGTGACATCGATTCCTCTTGCCCAGATATCTGTAGTGATTAACACGCGCTTCTCGCCTTTTCGAAAGACATTCATCACATATTCTCGCTCCTCTTGAGGCATCTCAGCATGCATTGAGATGACAGGGAAATTTGCCTTGAGCATATTCTCCGTTAGCCAGTCGACTTTCTTTCGCATGTTACAGAAAATGACTGATTGAGTGATAGTCATAGTGTCATAAATTTCACATAAAGTATCGAACTTTTGATCTTCGCGAGCTAATTTGACGTAATACTGTTTGATGATGTCAAGAGTCACTTTCTCTCGTTTGGTCAAAATCCGGAGTGGATTCTTCATTAATAAACTCGCGATTTCAAGGACTTCAGGAGTTAATGTGGCCGAACACAAAACGATCTGCCGGCGCTCCGGAAGATATTTGAAGATGTCGTAAATGGCACGAGTGAAGCCTTTGTCAAGCATTTGATCGGCCTCGTCTAAGACTATCACTTTGACAAATTTAACGGCTAAAACCCTCTTTTTGATCAACGTGAGTAAACGACCGGGGGTACCAGATACGACTTGACACCCACGTTCAATGGCTTTGACGTCTTCCTTTTCCGATTTACCACCGACACAAGCGCGAACGGAAATTGTTAAGTACTGAGAAAGACCTTCAATGACGTTTTCAGACTGCGTTGCTAATTCACGTGTTGGGGAGACTATTATTACTTGTACCTCCCGTTTCTGTGGCTCAACTAACTGTAATACTCCAGTTGAAAACGTAGCAGTCTTACCAGTCCCCGACTGCGATTGGGCAATCACATCACGACCTTCACTTATTGGAACGATCGCACGCTGTTGTATAGGGGAGGGTTTACTATAACCTTGTTTATAAATGCCCTTCAAAATCTCCTCTTTCAAATGCATCTTTTCAAAGGCATCGTACACAGGAACGTTGTCACTTTTGTCAGACATGTGTGTTTGTCGTGTTTCTAATTTTTTGAATTTCTATACCAATTAGGGTTTGAACTCAAAAAAAAATTTCTTCATTTCGCATATTGAATTGAAAAGTTTTCTGTTGATTGGAATAATTCAAAGTATTTTCATTGTAAATAAATTATAAATACATAAGTTTCATTATAAATTATTATTTAATAATTAATAGTAAAATTGAATTATTAAGTTTCATTGTTTGTAAACAATTATTAAGTTTGTTTTTAAACAAATAATTGAGATCACATTTCAATTTGATATGAATGGTAAGTGTATGTCTTTGCTAAAAAAAATTTTTATCATTAATAAATGCATTTTTCAAAGTTAATAGTTTTAAATTATTAAATTATTCTCATTTTTCATTCCTTACAAAATCGGATCATTAAAAAAAGAATATATTAGTCATAATAATTTATAAATAATTATTTTATAATAAAAACTTTGATACATCAATCAACTACCGTTATTTTTCAATAGTAAAAATCATTTTGAAATGAAGAAAAAATAAGAAAGTTTTCTCTCCTTTTGCAAAAAAAATTATCTGATAAAAAAGTTATTACAAAGGAAATAAAAAAATAGTTCACGAATACTTGTTATTTAAAAATAAGTTAAAAATTCTTTGTGGAATCCCAACTAATTCATCAAAAATAAAATTAACTTTTTTCGATCACATTTCAAGCATTTAACTTCCAACAACCCTAAAACGTTGATGAATAGTAATGTACCTTTCAAACACTCCACACTTTAAAAAACTAAAAAAATCGCACTTACTAGTAAAACAATTATTAATGAATAGTAAAAAACCGTTTGCAAGTGTCCACTAAAAATTTCGTGATTTGATGGGTGATCTTGATAAGGTCAGATGACTGAATATCACTTACTTAACCAGCCATGGAAAGTCTTTACTGAGACAGCAGATAACCTTTTAGCGAGTGGAGTAACGCTTGACGAACTCTTAGCGATCATTCCTTCTGTTGAGGAGTTTTGGGGATGTTTTGAAGCGATGGGGGACTTCTCCGAGATGAAGACGGGGACTGAGTTATATTTCCTTAAAGGGGACAATCGCGTCGCAGATAACTATCGGAAGGTCGTTCTCTACTTCCCAACAACAAATAAAGACGCCTTCAACGCCTCGTGGCTCCGAGTTGTTTGTTTCAAAGGTATAAATGAGTCGTTCAATAACAAGTAGTTGTTAGTCTGTATGGGAGAGTCCGTCGTGTACACCGAACAAATCCGGGGCGTCTTATTTTCGTGTCGTCAATACTTTAAAGTGACCGTCTTCTTATCACGAAGTTGTGATGATGTAGTCCCCAAAGCGGTCGCACTGTTTATGAAAGAGTTAATTTCGGCATATCCGGAAGTCAAAATCTGTTATTCAAAGCCACAAGGAGGGTTTATCACTTTAACTGATTGATTCTACATTTCATACTAAAAAATTCGTTCATTGAAAGGAGGATTTGGATTCTCTTCAATTACTAGTATTATTATAATATTATTATTATATTAATATAGTATAATACTACTCTAATATTATAGTTATATTATAGTTATATATATATATTTATATTAATAGTTATAGTTATACAGTATGATACTATAATGTATAGAATGAGTATAGTATATTATAAATTAAAAATAGAAAGTTATCACAACCAAAAACAATACTGAAAATGTCAATGAGAAGAATTAGACGGCAGTTCTCTTCAACATGACCTGTCTTCCCTTTTCTTCAAATTCGGCTTTGGTCACCCAGGCTTCATCTCTGTTTTCAATTACACCAGCTAGAACAGCACCACCTTGGAAGACTAAGTGTTTTCTTCTTGGTGGATCTTCGATGTTGACGGAGACAGTAGCCTTCTTGGTACTAGAACCCGCACGAGTGGTAATAGAGGCGTTTCCTTTTTTACGAGTTTCTTCAGCGTTTTGCTCGTACAACTTGACGACTTCCTTTTTAAGTCTCGAAGGTAATCCCGGCAACATAGAAGTTCCACCGGACAAGACGATGTGGCCGTACAAGTCGGTACGAGTGTCTAATGGGCATTGATTGATGGAGTCGAACAAGTTCTGATGAACGCCAGCAGACTCTTTTCCAATCATCGATGGGTTGAACAAGATCTCAGGAGCCATATAACGCTCAGGGCCCAACTTAATAACTCTCCCGTCGGGCAATTCGTATTGTTGCATTAAGACGGTGGTCTCAGTCCCGAGTTTATTCTCAAGAGTAAGATCATATCCGACATAACAGTATCTCTCTTTAATCATTCGAACGGTTTCAAAGTCAGCAGTTCTGTTGAAGGAATACCCACGAACAAGTAACAAGTCGATCAATCGACGAGTAATGTCACTTCCGGCGACATCAAGTCGCTTCACGGAGTTCTGTACAAAGCCTTCATAGACGGGAATGATATGAGAAACTCCATCCCCAGAATCGACAACAACACCAGTCGAAATACCTTGAGCATATAAGACTAAGACGGCTTGTACAGCTACATAGACTCGATTGAACCCAAACTTCTCAAACATCACATCCCCCATCTTCATTTTGTTCTCCTGTGGATTCATGGGGGGCTCGGTGAGTAAGACAGAAGCACCATGTGTGTCGACGTGAAGCTTCTCTTCAAATACATACTTCCAAAGGAGTTCCATATCAGTCCACGACTTCACTATACCATTTTCAAGGGGATATGTGATTTGAAGGTTCTGTCGGACGGACGACGCTTCATCACCAAACATCACATCCTTAATCTCTACACCTCCTATCTTCTCTTCTGATCGCATTAAGGGTCGCCCTACCATCGAAGGAAAGACCGCAGTCGGAATGTTGTCGTTTGCAAATCCGCACTTCACAAACCCAGTCCCGTTATCGACAACTATAGTCTTCATTTACTCATTTCTAAGTTCTAGTTCCTCTCAAGTCTTACGCCGTTTTTTAGTTTCTCCAACTTTTCTAAGTTCATTGGCCATCTTCAACTTTCAACGATGAAAAAAGCGTTTTCGAGTTCCCTCACCTCTCCTATTCCCCATTTTTTCGTTCGGAAATGCTCTGTTATTCACTAGTTTGAGGGTGTCTGTTTTACTGAATTATTAATTCTTTTATTGGTTATTGTTAATTTGGTTATAGTTTATTCATGTAATTAAAAATTATAATTTGTTTTTATATAATTTTGATACATTTTTGATAATAAATAGCATTTTAAAAGTATAGTTTCGTGTGGTTGATATTTATTATTATATATAGTACATATTAACGAGTGGATGAAAATAGAATATCATATAACAATTATTAAATTAACTATTGTTTTAAATTAATTTGAAAAAATGAAATTGTTTTTTAATAAGAAACAGTTCCGGTACTCTGTGGCGGGGATACTTATCTGCAATTTCTTCATAAAGTTTTAATAGTAATAAAATAATTACTAATTTATTATTTTTGAAGTTTATAATAAAAACCATTAAGTTAAATTGTTTATAGTTTATACTATTTATATTAATAAATATTACAATTAAACTATAAATGGTTTATATAAACAACAAAACTATTTATTATAGTAAAAGTATTATACATTTACCATACAAAAAGTTAGAAGAAGAAGAACTATGAAAGAATTGAGGATTTGAAAAGACAAAATTATCATGTCAAAGAAGCAGCAAAGTATCTTAAGTTTCTTTTCCTCCAACAAGAGAGACATCCACAAAGATGCTTCCAAAAAGCCAAGTGAAACAACTGAAGTCAAAGAACAGCAAGAAGACCCGAAGGGTTCTCAGACCGATTCACAATCAAAAGACAATTTAAACATAAAAAGTGAAATTACAACATCCAGTGATTCCACTACGTCTAAAGCAAAGACTTTACCTTTTAAAGGATTAGCTGAGACTTTTGATAAAGTTGAGAAAGAAAGTGGTCGTATCAAAAAGACTGAGATCATGGCGTCGTACTTAAAAACTGTTATTACAACAAGTCCCGGTGATCTTGCTGATGTTTTAAATTTAACAACTGGACAAGTCGCTCCAACTTGGGAAGGAAAAGAGCTTGGGATAGGAGATGCCATCTTAAAGAGTGTTGTTCAGCGTGTGACTGGTTTCAAGCCGTCGCAATTGAATGAGAAAATTAAAGAGCATGGGGATATCGGTATAGTCGCACAAATGACGAAACAAAATCAGTCGTTATTAGTTAAACCGCAGCCACTAACTGTCCACGGCGTCGTCACAAAATTTTTAGAAATCTTAGATGCTCCAAACACTGATATTAAGAAGCAGAAAATCACTTCTATGATAGTCGCCGCTGTTGGTCCTGAGATCAAATTTCTCTTAAGAATATTAAAAGGAGTCTTCAGAATCGGCTTTTCTGAAAGATCCCTTCCAAATGCCCTCGCAATTGCTCTCTGTCAAATCCACAAGAACAAATACGACGTCGAGAGGTTAACTGAAATCATTAAAGACGCCGCCGCGCGCAATCCGTCCTTTCAGATCTTAGCCAAATATGTCATCACTGAGGACCCATTAGACGCTTTCACTACTTCATGTGGAGTGACCTTATTCACTCCATTCAAACCAATGTTAGCGAAGCCTAAAAAGTCTGTAGAAGAGGTCACCGGGCGCTTTGGGTTTCCATTTACGTGTGAGTATAAGTACGACGGGGAAAGAGGGCAAATTCATTATAAAGAAGGACTGATTAAGATCTTCACAAGGAACTTAGAAAACTACACTGAGAAGTACCCCGACGTCATTGAAGCTGTTAAACAGAGTGTACTGCCTGAAGTCAAATCTTTCATTATCGACTGTGAAATTGTCGCGTTCAATAGAGAGACAGACGAGTTCCAGGAGTTCCAAATCCTCGGGAGACGCGCGAAGAAGGGAGTTAATATACGAAGTATCGCGATTAATGTGTGTGTGAACGCATTTGACGTCCTGTATTTGGACGGAGTCGATCTGATGAGGAAACCCCTCCTTGAACGACGCGAGCAACTCCACAAGGTCTTTAAAGAGGTCCCCCAACGGTTCTTGTTTGCGAGATATAAGAACATCACATCGGCAGATGATATCCTCCCGTTCTTCGAAGAAGCCGTGAATCATAGAACAGAGGGGTTGATGTGTAAAACCACTGGCGATGATTCGTTTTATATTCCCGATAAGCGAAGTGACACGTGGTACAAACTCAAGAAAGACTATTTGAGTGGGTTACAAGACACAGTCGACTTAATACCAATTGGGGCGTGGTTGGGCGAAGGAAAGCGGTCTGGCGTGTATGGTGCCTTCTTATTAGCGTGTTACAACGAAGACGACGATTGCTATGAAAGTGTGACGAAAGTGGGGACGGGGTTCTCAGAAGATGTGTTACTTGAGATATACACTCGACTGAAGGAAAAGGTCTCGAAGAATAAACCAAATACAGTGATGAGTGGAGACAACTTACCAGATGTCTGGTTTGAACCCGACGAGGTGTGGGAAATTAAAGGAGCCGATTTGTCACTTTCACTTGCGTATAGAGCAGCGATTAAAAAAGTCAATTTGGAGGGAAGAGGAGTCTGCTTGAGGTTCCCACGATTTATTAAGAAGAGAGATGATAAGAAGTGTTCTGATGGTACGACTAACACACAAATATTCGAAATGTATAAGGACCAACCATCTGTTAGGGATACGACTGATGGGAAGATGAAGGTGTTGAAAGATGAAGACGAGAAGGGGGAGAAAGAGAATGAATCTGGTTCGGAGTCAGAAGAGGATAATTGAAGTTTAAAATGATTTTTGATAATGAAGTATTTAATGATTTTTATTTATGAAGTTTTGTTTTTTAATTCAATGAAGTATCAAAATTTTAAATAATTTTGAAGTATTGAATGAATTTTGATTATGAAGTTTAAAATGAGTGCAACCAATTAATTAACAACGGACGACTAAGCAACATTTATCAAAGTTGTTTTCATTGAACGGAAAACAGTTCTGAGGAATTTTAATCTGGTTGAGAGAAGAACAATTTTCAAAGCAATGTTCTTGAAATGTGATCATATGTTCTGGCATTATAACTTCACTCAGTGAAGTACATTGTGCAAAACATTTGGTTTCAAGTAAGGTAACACCATCTGGTATCAGTATTGATTGTAATGAAAAACACCTGAAAAAACACTGGAAACCTATTTGATCGAGAGAAGATGGCAGTTCAATTGAAGATAAAGAAGAACATCCACTAAATGTTGAGAGTTCCAAATTTCTTATATTTGGAGAAAGAATTACTTTGGAAAGATTGACACAATTATAAAAAGCGGAATTCTCAATCTTTGTTACACTTTGTGGTATTTCTATTTTTTTTAAAGAAACACAATCCTTAAATGCGAGATCTCCAATTCGATGAACTTTGTAAGGTAATTCAATTGAACTCAATTTTACACATCCTCTAAAACACAAACATGGTATTTCTGTAATAGAGCTGTGTAATTCAACATGTTCAAGTAATTCACAATTTGTAAAACATACATCTCCCATTGAAACGATCAACTTTAAACAATCAAATGTTGTCAACGATTCACAATTTTCAAATGCACTATTTTCTAATATTTTAATGCAACCTAAAAAATGAATATCAACAAGATTGACACAACCACTAAAACAATTTGCAGGTATATTTGTAATTTTCTCTGGTATTATAATACTTGACAATGATAAACAATCTTTGAAACAACTTTCTCCAATTTGTTTAACATTAATTGGTATGTTAATCATAGAAAGAGAAGTACAATTGTTAAAACAATTATTTCCAATCAATGTGACACTCTTTGGTATAATTAACTTGCTCAGAGAAATACAGTTTTTGAAAACCAAATGGTTTAAAACTTGAAGATTAGAAGGAAGTTTTACATGAGTCAGGGATTCACACCCTACAAATACATTAAAATCAATAAACACCGAATCGGAAAAAACAAAGTTTTTTAAAGACAAACAATTATTAAAACAAGAATATCCAATATAAGATATTGTTGAGGGAAGTTTTATAATCGATAAATTGCTACAAAACCCAAATGTATTATTATCAAGTCTACTTACATTATTAGGAATGACAATTTCACTTAAAGATTCACAGTATTGAAAACAATATTCTCCAATAGAAGAAAGTTCTTTTGGTAGTTCAATGCTGGACAAAGAATCACAATTTAAAAATCCTTTTATAGGTAATTTTGTTACAAGCGGAGGCAAGTTAATTTTTTTTAATCTTGTACATTTTGAAAAACACGCTTTATTTAATGCAGTGAGTGTTGAAGGCAATACAATTTCACAAACATTAAAACACTCTTTGAAACAATCACCTCCAATGTTTTTAATTACATGTTTGGTGTCATTTGGGATCATCATAACATTATTATTATCAAGGAGTTGGTTATTAAATTCCTGTTTTGAACGTAAATCATTGTTTTCTCTGTCGTCTTGACTGAACACGATGTTATCAAACACAAATCTGGAGTTTTTTGCAAGTAAGCTTCTTTCATATGTTACAGGAAAATGAACTCTTATTTGATAAAATTGTCTTAAATAGTTGTTATCAATTACTTGATCATCGAAATAACAAACAATATTTCCAAAATTCTCATCAAACTCATCGTAAAGATGAAGAGTCTCTATATTCTTAAAGTACATAATTGTTTTAGTGTTGAGTGGAATTGGGTTATAATGAAAATTTTCAATAATGTTCCTGTATTTCTTACACACAAAAATGATGTTGATAAAATCTTTGATCGTATGAAAATAATTGGAGACAACCATTATGTGGTAAGAGTCAAGAGAGATCATGATATGTATTTGTGGTATAGTAAAAGTGGTTTAAATAAACGAAAAAAAATAATGTTTTTATCATTATTATTGAAAATAATCGTTATTTAATTTAAAATGATTATTAAAGTGTTTGTAGTATTATTTTCCAAATAATAATCATTTGTTTATAAAAATCATTTATATACTTAAAATCATTTCGTTCACTTTAATAATATTTTAATTATTATTTTATTAATGAATTATATTATTATGTTATCATTATAATCTAAATCATTTACAAATAGTTATTAAATAATTTTTTTAATTAATTTTGGAAAAAATAATTGATTTTTCATTATTATTTTTTTATCATCAATTATTAATATAAATATAATATTCAAACTTAATTGAAAAAACTATAATTATTTTAAAAAATAATAAATATTTTTATATATAATATAGTATATACATTTAATATACAATGTATTAAACTTGTGTAATAAATTATAATACAAAATAATGAATAATTTTTAAAATAAAAACTAACTAACCTCAACGTTTTTTTTAAATATATTTTTATTTTTCATTTTTTAGCTTTTTGACTTTTTCTAAGTAAAAACACGTTTTTAAAACGGATTAAGTTTGTCATTAACAAACTAGAATTTTAACATATTAAACTAACATAATAACTACTTTTTAAAAATAAAAATAAGTTAGACTTTGATACTTCATTGATCAAAACTAATACGCCCAAAAAAACGAACACTTCCGTTTTTGAAGACGTTTTGTTCCTTTTAATCTTTGTTGTCATTTCATTTTTACAATTTAAACGAAATACGATCTTGTTATTAACAAATCAGAATGACTTGGTTTGGTTCCCTCTTTGGTAAAAGTGCTCCAACAATACATTTAGAAGAAACAGAAGACAAATTGGTCTACGACCAAACGACTCAGCGCTGGGTCAAAGAAAGTGAACAGAACAGTCCAACTTCAACCTCTGTTCCTTCCACTTCTCCTCGTCCCCCAATATCTCCTATGCCTGTTACACAACCTTTAACAGTTCATTTACACTCAATCTCGGCTCGAAGACCAAGGTATATCGATCCCTTTACTAACCAAGTTCATACTTCCGCACCACCTATGGTGGAAGTCTCAGCCACTCCTTTGATTTAAAAATTGTATTCTACTCATCTTCTTTAGTTCTCATTCTAACACTTTTACTATTATTATAATACTATAGTAATATCATTATGTTATTAATAACTATAATTATTACTCGACCTTAACACTCCAATACAATATGTTTAATTAATCCACTCACTTAATCCTTACCACGTTCAAAATTCGTAATCCTTCAAGTCAAGTGTATATATCACTGAAGTCTTCTTCTCAAGATCTCTTGCAACACCAACCAACGCATCTGCTCTTTCGTATAACGTATCCTTCAGTGAAATGACCAAAAATTGGACATCGTTGCACTTCTTCTGGATGTACTTTGCGACTTGTAACACATTTTGGACATCAAGTGCAGCATCTATTTCATCCAATATGAAGAAAGGACTCGGGTAAAAGCTTTGTATAGCAAACAAAAGTGCAAGTGCTGCGATTGTTTTCTCACCACCGGAAAGTTGTTCTAAGTCGTGGAATCTTTTAAAAGGTGGCATCGCGTTATACTTCAACCCACTCAAATAAGGCTCTTCCGTATTTTCTAATGATAAAAAGGCGGTCCCACCTAGCGGGTGTTTAGAACTCTTCGTTAACTCCTTATAAATTGGATCGATAGCACTTGAGATATGATCAAACGCTTCCATAAACATCTTTGTTCTCTTCAGTTTCACTTCATTGAACAAATCAGAAGCATTCTTCGCTTCTTTTCTGACCTCCTCAAAGTCATCATTGATGTCTTTCAACTTGTCGACTATCCCATTGAATTGATCAATCGCTTTCATATTCGGCGTTAATCCGTTGATCTTTGCTTCCAATTTTGCTATCTCTTCGGTCATCTCTGTCCTCACCGCATTGTACTCTTCCATATTCCTCACTTTAATCTTCTCAATGGAACTAAAGTCAAACTCTGTCTCCGCATATGTCGTACTTTGCGTCACTATTTCCATCATTTGTAACGTGTTCTGAGTCCCTTCTTTACTCGACTTGTCGGGACTTTTCGAGTCACTTTTTGAATCGCCTTTACCAACGATCGGTAACTCGATCTGCTCCATCCGCGCACTTCGAACAGTCTCATCAAGCCCAGCTTGTAACTTCCCATACATACTTTGTAAGTGACTTTGATCTTTTTGTGTTTGTCGAATTTGATTCTCAACTTCCTCAAACTCCTTTTTCTTCTCACTCATCTCGCCTTTTAACTTCTCCTCGTCTCGCACGATTTGCGCTAACTCCCCGCTCTTTTCTAATACCAACTCTTCGTTGCGTCGGATCTTCTCTTTCAACTCGTTCTCCACTTTCTCAATTTTCTCGTTGATCTCTTGTTGAATCTTCTCAACTTCTTTCTTTTGGTCTTCAATCGTCTGCTTGGTGTCTTTCTCTTGTTCTATTCGAATCTTCTCGTCTATCACTTTAATGTTCTGCTCTAATGTAAATCGCTTCTTCTCTCTCTCCTGTACACTCTTATTCGAACACATCAAATACACATTTTCAATTCCAAGCTCCTCGTTAAGCTCTTTGAAAATTGCAGTTTGTTGCTCCAAAATGTCCTTCTCAATTGAATTCATCTCGTCTTTGTTACTCAAAATCCTCTTCTTAACTTCCTTGACATCTTTCCCTTTACTCTTCAACTCGTATTTCTTCACTTCACTCTCAGACTTCTCTCGATCGGCTTCTACTTCACTCTTCCGTTTCTCTAACATCTCAATACGATGCTTGTGGCCATTAATTCGAAGTTGAAAATCTTCCAAGTTAGTCTCTTTAACACTTTGCAGTTGCGCCATCTCCTCCTCCAACTCTATTTTCTTGGCAGAAAGTTCGTTGTACTCTTCTTGGGCCTTCTTCGCATTCTTCTTTGTCCTCTTCTTTTGTTGGGACCCTCCAACCATCAATGAATTCTTCTCAACAACCGATCCGATTGAGGTCACAATACGGAACATATGTTTGTATCGTTGATTGAAAGCAATCTTCCTCGCCGTTTTAAGAGTGTCTACAATCAACGTGTTGTTCAACACAAATCGGAAGACGGAATCGTACTTATCAGAGAACTTAATGTTGTTGTATACAAACGATGCACCAAGACCTTCACGTCAATTCTTGTGTTGAATTATATATATAATTATATAAAACTATATTATATACTATATAGTATATAATTATAACTTTAGAGTATCAAATAATAATAATATAAAAAGAACAAACTCTTCAAGTTGTCGTCAAGCTCGTAAAAGTCTTTACTTCTTAACTCCTTCAAACACAAAAAGGTTAATACAATCTTTGTTCGTTGTTCTTTACAGTACTTCAAACACTCAATCGCCGTTTGTGTGTCTTCAACTACAACTGCTTTGTTGTACTTCCCAATTGCAAGACTGATTGTGTCACTCTGTCGTTTGTTATTTGCAGTGTACAATTCGTTGACTTGTCCGTACACTTTCGAAAACAATCTCTTTAAGTTGTCCATTGTTTCATTCATTAATATCTCGTGCTGATTCTCTTTCAAACTCATTCGTAACTCACTCATCGTTTCATCAGTCTCTTTTAAAGCGTGGGACACTCTCTCCAGATTTGCATTCTTCTCTTGTAATGCTCCTCTCATCTTTTCTAACTCTTCTTCGTCACTCTTTTGTTCTTCCTTTTCTTTCTCAATGCTCTCGTCGTACTTCCCGATTTGTGTTTGAATCGCCTCAATCTTCTCTTTCAACACTTTTACATCTTCAACATTCCCCAACTCTTTCACGACTTCCTCATCTCGAGTTATCGAAAGTATTAACTCGTCCTTTCGTCTCTCCTTCTCTCCACACCTCGACAAGTACGCCTCGTTCATTTTCTCAAACGTCTTCTTCTGTTTTTCAGTCATCATGACGTTGTCCGTGTGTTCCACGTCTTTCATTAGTTTCTCCATCTCCGCTTTCTCGTTTTCTAACTTCGCAATTCGCTCTTTCTCCTCCGCATTTCTCTTTTCGACTTCTTTCATTTCCTTCTCCGCTTTCTTCAACTTCTCATACAAAATCTTCCTCTTCGCTTGTGTTCGTCCTTCCATGGGCTTCATGTTTTCTCTCTCTCCTTTTAACTTTCTTAATTCGTCTCGCTTGCTGTGTTCCTCGTTTTCTTTATTCCTCACGTTCTCCGCGCTCTTCTCAAAATGCATTTCTTTTCCCGTCTTTTCCGTGATCAGTCCTTCAAGACTTTCATTCTTCTCTTCCATCTCATTCTTATACTTCGCCATCCCTTTCTTATAATTCCTTATATCGACTAACATCAATTCTTTCTTCTTCTCAGCCATCTCATCTTCTAACGTCTGATACTTCTCGGCTTCTTCCTTCATCGCCTTGTACTGTCTCTTCTCCGCATTCATCCCTTTCTTCTTCTGGAAACACGTCATCGTTTGTTCTTCCGCCTTCTCCTTCTTCAATTTCAGATCGTCGTACTCCTTCGACAACTCGTCCGACCCACAAATCGACTCGATCATTTTCGTCAACTCCTTTCCACTCTTCGATGCTACTTGCGAAACATCTCCTTGAAAAACTAAGAAGTTTCGCGCTTTGACATCGATGTTGATGTCCCTCAATTGACTTTGATACTCCTTTTCAGTGACTACTTTGTTGTCTATTCGATACTCCGAAGACCCCGAGACCATCACTGTCCTCTTATATATCTTCTCGTCTCCCGTATTATGCCGTAACTTTAATTCAACCGACGCACGTGTCGGGGGAGTGTCCATAGTCGGATCATCATGGATCAAGTCTTTAAGGTTAGACCCTCGTAAGAATCCCACTCTCACCCCCAGAACAAACGATATCGCGTCCATCAAGTTGGACTTCCCTGCTCCGTTCGGGCCGATGACTGCTTGGAAGTTATGGAATTGTGGGATGCTATGAATTCCTTTGTACGACTTAAAGTCGCTTAAATTGAGTTGTTCAATCCGCCACATCTCAAATCTTTTCACAGATTTTCTCTTTTTTACTCATTTTTTGTATCTTTGTATTTATAGTGCCTTTCCTCTTTTTTATGTTCTATAATATATACTATAATTTATTATAATTTATAATACAGTATATCTTCAAAAATTGAATCTCTCTATTTTTCTCTATATAAGCCCCAAAAAACCAAAGGTGAAACAAGTTATGGCTCGCATCTCTCGATGTATCTTGGGTACAAGCAGACCTTTCTAATGTGGTCCTCGCCTAACATCCACATCACAAGTCTTTCAACGCCAAGTCCATACCCGCCGTGTGGGCATGACCCGTACTTTCTTTGGTCGGTGTACCAATAGTAAGGCTTTGGATTCAATCCGTTTGCTTTGTATGCGTCCATCAGTTCCTTATAATCCCAAATTCTCATTGAACCGCCGACAATCTCGCCGACGCCTGGCATTAACAAATCGACGGACTCCGTCAAGTCGGTATGACCCGGGACCTTCGACATATAGAAGGCTTTCATCTTTGATGGGAAGTGAATCATGAAAATGGGGCAACCGATCATATCGGTCATTTGTCTCTCGGGCTTCTCCGAGATATCTTCGCCAAATTCAAAAGGCTTGTCTTTGTTCAGAATTTTGTTGTCGTTACAGAACTTAATTGCGTCAGCATATGTCATTCTCTTGAATGGGCGAGTCGGCATTTTGAAGTGTGGGTTCATCTTCATGATCTTCTCTCCATGGACAGCCATAACGTTTTCAACAACAGTGCAGACCAAGTCTTCCAAATGGGCCAACAAATCGTCAAAAGTAATAAATGGGAGTTCAGCCTCAAGATGTAAGTACTCAGCCAAGTGTCTTACTGTTCTTGACTGTTCTGCTCTGTATGAACTTAACATACAGAAGGACTTCCCAAGGGACGCAATGACACTTTCAAGGTACAATTGACTTGATTGCGTGAGATACGCAGCTTCATTGAAATATGTCAACTTAAATAAAGTGCTTCCACCCTCGCATTGTGTCTTGACAATAGTTGGTGGTTGGATCTCGGTGAATTTGTTGTCGTGGTAATACTTTCTGAAGTACCACTGAATCTCACTTCGCAATTTCAACACTTGTTGAGTGTGTTCCGATCTCAATGCGATGTGTCTGTTGTCCATCAATTGGGGGACGGAAGAGTCTTTGTTGATGATATTCTCAATATCAACTGGGGATTCCCCAACTAAATGCCATGCACTCACTTGCATCTCGAGGTTCAAGATGTCTGCAATTTCTGGCGCATGGTTTTTGCCTTCGTAAGCTTTCAAAGTCCCAGTGACCTCGATGGAGCACTCTCGGGTAAGGAACTTGACCTTCTCGGCGTCGCACAATTCCTTCCCAAATATAACACATTGACAATATCCAGTGCCATCTCTCAATTCTACAAAGTAAAGTGTTTTACGTGCTTTACGGACGTGAGCGGCCCATCCTCGGAAGGTAACAACCTGATCTTTCTTGTCAGCAGCTTCACTGATTCTCATGAAGTTGACTGCTGGCTCTACAGTCTCGGCTGGCGCCGTTGTCGCCGCGGGTACTACTGGTGCTGCTGTCTCTGTGGACATATGTGATTACTTCGATTCGTTCGATGCATATTTAGGGTATGTATTTTACTATTAATTATAACATTTTTACCATCATTTTTACTATCACTAACTTTTTTTTTGAACATTAGTTAACACTAGAAAGTCTCGACTGGCATTTTTCTGATAAAAGTTATTTCATACACATCACGTGTTTTTTTAAATATTTTTTTTAATAAATAAACCATTATTTGATGCAAAATAAACATCAATTGTATTTGAGTTTTTTGTTGGCGAAATTTGGGATAGGTTTCCAATTAATTAAAAATGTGCAAAAAGAAAAATTTCGAAAAAAGAATGACTCAGAAATACGTTATAAGTATCTAATTTATCCTCTATATATTATTCTTACTAATTTATAGTAAATATATTATTTTATTATGATATTATATTTATAATTATAATAAAACTATTATTAATAAATTAATAATAGTTTTTTATTTATAATTTAAGTTAAAACACGTGGGAAGGACTGGAGACCACTCACTTCTTATTACAATTTCTTTCTTCTCAATTTTTGTTGAAACCAAAAATGTTATATAAAACATTTATTACAGAATGTGCCAACAGAACTGATGCAAACGTGTCTTGCCCAACACAAAAAGTGTTCTTCTGCTTACATCAAACACATTTAATTGTGCGACTTTATTCACTTTCATTGTGTTTTTCTGCGTCTTCATTAATACAATCGTTCTTCTCACTATTGGCAATTTCTTCAAGTAACGCGCGCGAAGGACTGAGGTTATCATATACCCTTTTAAACGTCGAGTTGGCTTGAGATAAACTTTTTGAAATTTGTTCAATTTCTTCAGTGAAAGACTCGGCGTTCTTTTGGAAATGTTTGACAGCGTCTGTGACCTCTGCCGGCTTTTTGTAATTAGTTTCAAGAAGTTTAATGAAACTATCCATGTTCTTTTGGACACTAGTAATCGCGTCTTTGTCATCTTGTAACAATGTTGGAAGATCTTTTTTCATCATTTCTGCACACATCACTTGATCATCCATTTCTCTTCTTTTTGTAGTTCTTATTCTTTTCTATTAGTTATAATTTAAAGTATTATATTTATAGTTTATTATTAATAATAAAATTATAATTAAAGTATAAATACATTAAACTATTTATATTATTATTATTATTATTATAATTACTTTAATTATTTATTATAACATTATAATTGTGTATTAAAAATAAATTATAATATATCTATTTTTTGAATTATTTACTAAAAGTTTTAACAATGGTAAATTATTGTTATTATAAACTATTGTATGAATTAAAACATTTTGCAATTCAAAATTATTGTTAAACTATAATTAATACTAGATTATCAAAAAAAATTTAAAAAAATCCAATGTTATGATAAAAATAGATAAACCATAAAGGAATTATCGTTTTTAAAAAAATGGTAAATTTTACCTTTTTAAATAGTTAACCATTTGCTTTTAATAAAACAATAAAAAAATCAAATTTTTGCGTTTTTTTTCAAAGAGCAATAAAGTACGAAACATTTTATAGAAATGTCAAACTATATTTTAATAACAAATTTACTATAAATAACTAGTATAAACAAATAATGCATCAAACGATGGAGAAGGCAATACCACACAAGCCGACACTCGAAGTGTTAGATTCCTTACGTTGCATAGGAGCACTTGCTGTTATTTTGTTTCACAGTTTTGAGGTGTATTCTACGAGTATGATAGACCAGAAAGTCAATCATGGGTACTTTGCAGTCGACTTTTTCTTCTTGTTATCGGGGTATGTACTTTCCTTCTCATATGACGACCGACTTGATGGGACGAAAGTTACTTCATTCTTAAAGATGAGACTCTTTCGCCTTCACCCCACCGCAGTCTGTGGTGGTGTACTTGGGTTAGTACTCTTCTATTTTGGAAAAGGGGATTTCTTCCCTTTGATAGCGGAGACTGGCATATTGAAAGTTTTCTTCATCTTCCTCTTAACATTATTTATTGTCCCGGTCCCGCCTTGTCTTGACATCCGAGGGTACAATGAATCATATCCTTTAAATTGTCCTTTGTGGTCTTTAATGTATGAGTATATTGGTAATATTTTCTATGCTTTTTTCTATAGAAAACTCAGTGCTCAAATGACTTTTTTAATAAGCGTTTTTGCATCGTTTTTTGTGTTTGACGTTGCTCTTGATATGAATTGTTTTGGATTTTACACGGGTCGAGAAACAACAAGATATTATCTTTCTTTTATGGGCGGGTGGACATTAGAAAAGTCTCAATTTTACATTGGAGTGGTGAGATTTTTCTATTCCTTCAGTGTTGGTGTTTTTCTCAGTAAAGCAAAGATAGCAATCAAACTCCAGAATGGTTTTTATATTAGCACTTTACTATTAAGTGGTGTCTTAGTGATGCCCAGAATTGGTGGGGCAACTACTGGTCTCTTGAATTCAATTTTTGATGGGTTTGTTATACTTATAGTTCTTCCACTTATAATATCTATTGGTGCTGGAAGTACTATTAATAATGAATCTATAAGAAAGGTTAGTAAGTTTATTAGTTCGTTCTCATATCAAACATATATAGTGAATTACCCAATCATATATCTTGAGATGGCGTGGGTATATCGAAATCAAGAAGAACCATATTATATGCACGTTTCAATATGGATATTGACTGTACTCTCAGTTTACCTCACTGGCTATGTATTGATGAGATTTATTGACACCCCTGTTCGAGCATATTTAAATCAGTATAACACGTGGAATGCAGTGAAGCGAGTGGAATAATTAATTCACGTTTTCAATAGTTATTAATAATATATTTATTATTATAATATATAGTATTATAATACTATTATATACGAATATAAATAAATATAGAATAAATACAAATACAAGTCCAATTACACTTTGTTTGGATTTCAAGTGTCTGCTATAGAAATTTAGACCACTTTCTCATAGAAAAAGAACAAGTAGTTCTTCACATTTAAGTCTTAACTTCTATAGAATGACATTAAACTCTTTTGATGACCAAAATGAATAATTTTCAATTAAAAAGTCATTTACTAAAAACCAAATAAAGTCTTTTAAGCAACAGAATGTACTCAAAGAAACTTCAATACCAAAAAGCGATAGTATTATTATAAGACTTGTACTATTAACATTAAAAAACTTATTATATTTTATAATAAAATAAAAAATAACTAGTAGAAACTAGTTGAATCTATACTGAAGTACTATATTGCTCTTCTCCTCTCCGCCCAATTTTCAAGTAAGGAATTTGAAGAGTTCGTAATTTCTAAGTTCTCTCCATACAAAATGAGCCACCAGCCGTCTGTAGCTGCGCAGAAGAAGTCGTGGAACAAAAACGTCGTGAAAGTTGTGAAGAAGATGACCAAAGTTTATGAGGAGGTCCGACTAGAAATAGTCAAAGGTGATGTTTCACCGAAGTCATTTACAAAGTTGACTCAACAACTTGAGAAGACGACACCAGTGATTGACCAATCTCCATACAAATCAAATGAAGTTATTCCAGACGATGTTTCTCAGACATTAATAACTCTTTTAGATGCTATTATAGACTTTCTTCTTAAAATAGAACATGAAGATTCTACACATACACAAGGCATCTATGTGATGCTTCTTAAGCTTATAGAGTTTCCAAACTACCAACCATACTTATACGAGGACTTCCCACCCCCACAGATCTCCACTTCATTATCAAATGTCTTCTGCTCCTATTACAACGCACTTTTAAGAACAGCACTCCTCTTGATCTCATCAATGACTGCCGCTCCTATTCTTAACTCCGTCAAAGAACAAAAAGAGAAGCTGAAAGTCAAGAAGTTGACGACGTATCAATTTGTCATGAAAGCGCCTCCTCTTGAAGAGAAGATGTATCAAGTCACCGCAGATGTATTAGCCGCAGTGTCTTTAAGGATCCCACAAATTGCAAAAGAGATCTTCGAAGCGATTAGTTCGAAGCCGGTGAACTTCTGTCGTTCGATTTATCCAATCAGTGTGTGGGAAAGTTTTAGTAAATATTGTGTAGCGACCAATCGGATGTGTCAGAAATTTCAAAGCGGGTTGTCAGGAGTCGAGAACAAGTGGACGTTACACTTCTCTGCTCGTCTTCCATTTTCTTTCAAATATTACATAGCGTACCTTAATAAAGTCATTGCTATTGTAGGAACAACTAGTGAACAAATCACAGCAGTCCATGGATATGTCCAATTAGTCTCATTTACAACTCATTTGTCCCACGGAAAGCCCTCTAAATTGAATTCGCCTGAGATGTTTTATACGACAATAGCAACATTATGTCTGACTCAATTTCCAAGTACTTTCAAAAAGGTGATGGAAGACAAATTTGCACGGACAAATGCGTATTCCATCGACTCGTTGTCGAATTTTGTCGTCTCAAGTCAAAAGATATTTGAAACATTTGTCGAGCGCGGGGTAGTCCTTGGAGATGTAGTTGACACGGAAAGGATCGTTAAAGTGTTAGATGCTATAATGAAGAGTGATTCATATTATGCACTCTCCACAGCAATGTCGTTACTCTATGAGTTACTCGGGTGCTTAGATAAAGTACAGAAGAAGGTCATTCAACAGTTCATTGTCAACAACTTCAATTTCTTTGCTATTCACTGGTATTACCAAACTCGGAGATTCTTCTTTAAAGTCATCTTCAATCGTTTAACTATCGCTCCAGCTTTCAGAATCACCGGTTCCTTACTTGAAAATGAAGTAAAGAAGTACGAAAAATATGGCGATCTCACTTATGAAACAACTCTCACAGAAATCATTCAACTCAAAATTAAATTCCTTCGCGCTGCGTTGAAGGGCGACAAAAAATTGCAGCCAGAGGATTTGCCACACAAAAAGTACTTGAAAGAGGCGGTCGACGAAATAGACGAGGAACTCAAGGAATTCGAAAAATGGAAAACTACTAATACTGAACAGTGTCCACTCCAACATCTCGACCTCACTCTTGTCACTAAGCTTGAAAACAGCTTAATTTGATAAGTATGTTTTTGTAGTATATTCGAGTTGTACTATTGTTATGATATTTTTATTATATATTAATAGTATATTCCAGTTGTACCAGTATTATAACATTTTATTATAAAATTATAGTTTATTCGAGTTGTACTATTGTTATGATAATTTTATTATATAATTATAGTATGTTAATTTAAAAAAATAAATATATTATACTTATTAATTTATTTATTAGTAATATCATAAATAGTATATTTAATTATAATTAACTAAGAAATAGAGGGACAATAAAGAATCCCGAAATAATAGTTAACAAAGTATCAAATGAATGATACAAAAGAAAACTATAAATTAGTAGTAAAATGTTACAAAGAACCCATTTAAATTTTCTGAGGAGGAGTAAACCTAAAGAACTTGGAACTGGTGAGATCGTTTATCGATGCCAAGAGGACTCCACGCAGCACGTAAATTGTCGGCACAACGCCGAGCGAACCGTTGGGCTGATAAGGAGTGGAAAAAGGGGAAGTTGGTTACCCGATACAAATGCAACCCCCTTGGAGGTGCTTCCCACGCTAAAGGACTTGTTCAAGAGAAACTTGGCATTGAAACCAAACAACCAAACTCTGGTATTAGAAAGTGTGTCAGAGTCCGTTTGTTGAAGAATGGAAAGAAAATCACCGCCTTTGTCCCTAAGGATGGTTCTTTGAACTATATCAATGAAAACGATGAAGTCCTCATCTCCGGGTTCGGTAGAAGAGGTCACGCCGTCGGTGATATTCCGGGCGTTAGATTCAAAGTCGTCTGCGTTGCTGGTGTCTCCCTTCATGGTCTCTGGACAAACAAGAAACAAAAACCACACGCTTAATAGAGTGTTGCTGTGATGTTCGTTCATGTTAGGGTTTTTTTACTGTATTATACTTTTTCTATATCTTTACCATTCTTTGCATTTGTTGTCGCATTGCAAACACTTTTCATGTATTATTCGTATTAATTCTTAATAGTATACATTTACTAAATAATTTATTAATATAACTATTAAAGTATTATAGATACATTTTTGTTGTAATTATTTATATGGTTTTAATTATAATTAAAAATTTATATTCGGTCATTGTTCGAATAATATATTTATTGTTAAAAATTATAATAAAAATAGTACACAACTATTATAATTTTATATACTATAAAATATAGCTATGATATAATATTTTAGTAAAAAACTTGAGTGGTATAAGAATAATTAAAAAATTATAAAATAGCAAATAAGAAGTTTGAGAAAAAGTGGAATTGTTATTAATAGAACAATGAAAAATGAACACCAAAAATTCCATTTTTTCGCATTATGAAACTAAAAAAAGAGTCAATAATAGCCAGTTATAACGGGAAACTCACCTGAAAATGTTGATTATACACTTTCTTGTGACATTTTGTTTTTTTTGTCTTGGCCGTTTCTTTTTTTTATATGGGAATTTCCCGTTATTGTATATTAAACTATACTAATATAAAAAAGAAAATAACGGTGCGACTTATTATTATCTTATGTTATACAAAACTAATAATTTATAGTTTCTCCTCTCATCATTTTTATATTCTTGTCTTGTTATTTTTAACCTGATTAATCTTCGGTTTTGTTTGACGAAACAAAGTTAAATACCAGTGACCTCTCAGTTCGAGTCAATTTCTCTAAGTTTTTATCTCCCACAAAATTTCGTCCTTTTCTTACAAGGCAAACTCACCAGTGAAAGACTCAAAGGTAAAAAGGATCTTATTTTGCAGCAAAAAACACCAAAACACAGACTCTGTTCTGTCTCATCAAAAAGAAGGAAAAATCATACAATCAAATCTTAGTCAATTATCTCGAGATATCTAAAGTAAAACGTCTAAGAATTACATTTAATCAAACATATCATCTTCTCATTTCGAAGCAAAAAGAAAAAAACCTCTCTCTCGAAGCACCATAAAAATGAACTAAAAATTCCAAGACCCCCAAATGAATGGAAATAGTCTGTTAGAGCGTATTCAAGGCCGAGTTCAACATTACGACTGGGGAAAAGAAGAGCCGTGTGTAGTCTCTTCTTTGCATCCGACTGAAGTGTCTCCATTTGCAGAGATTTGGTATGGTTCACATCCCCGTTTACCATCATTAATTTACAATACACATAACCCTATTCCGGCAAACCTTCCATTTCTTCTCAAATTCCTTTCAATTCAAGATCCTTTATCACTCCAGATCCACCCCGATACAGAAACGGCTAAAATGTTATTTGAAAGGGATAAAACTCATTACGCCGATCCAAACGCAAAACCGGAGATTTGTATCCCACTCACTCATTTTCAATGTTTTCTGGGATTTGTCGATAATAACATTTTAAAACAACAAATGACCGAAAATCCTCCACTCAAAAAAGTGTTGATGTTTCATGAGAACGATGAGGCGAGAGATCTGTTGGTTAGGGCCCATATGCTAAGTAAAGACCAAATCTCAATCTTCATTAATGAAATGAAAATCCACATCAAAAATCTGGAGAGGCAAAAAGTCATCCTCTCAAATCATCAAAAACTCTTTGAAAGATTGGTGACTAAATTCGGGGAAGATGTCGGAATCATCGCTTCATTTCTACTGAGATATGAAATCTTCGAACCGTATCACGCGTTTTTCATTGTTTGTTCTTCACTTTTCAATCTCAAATTGTCATTTTTTTAAAGTGTCAAATCTTTAAGATCGTTCGCCATTTCTCTTTTAATTTGAATAAAAAAGACCACCACGGACAATTTCTTTGAACTAATTTTTTGACATAAAAATGATTAAATATTAATGACAAGCCACCAAATTATCCACATGGGTATATATCAGGGGAGTGTGTAGAAGCAATGACGTCGAGTGATAATGTCATCCGTTTTGGGTTAACAAAGAAATTCTGTGATTTAGAGGCACTCAAGTTCATCCCACATGAGACATGTAACAAAATATCTGAAGTAGAAAAGGAAGTGGTCAATGTTAGAAGCGAGAGTCAACAAGCCGCTCAGTCTATTCGTTATATAAACCCAACAAAATACTTATCGTCATTCGTTGCAACTATATATCATATCAATCAAGGGTTCACTGTCGATGTCACACTACTCAAAGTTGGGTTGTTAGTGCTATTTAAAGGAAAGGCAACAATAGATGGAGGAGATTATGATATTGGAGCATCCTTTTATGTGAAAGGCCGCACTACAGTTAAAATAACGGCCATAGAAAATGCGTCCGTCGTACTTTTGTCATAGTAGAAGTCAAGTTAATGTCTTTTTATGTTTCAGTTTTTCTCTTCTTATATGTTTTCTAGTTCCTCCATTTGTTCTATTCTTCGCACCATTTTCAATCATAAGTTCTCATATTGAAGTTTTCATTTTTTATAATAAAAATTATTATAAAGTAAAGTTTTGTTTTTTAATTTCACGACTACGTGCTTGTTGTTCCAAAAATACATAAAAAAATTATCATAAAAACAAATTTCTTAAAAAAACGAATTTGAGAAAAAAGGGTTGAGTGACACAAACCCTAAAGGGTTTCCGAATATCGTCAACAATTCAAGACAACCATTGGTGGAATGAAAAATAGCAAAATCAAAAGAAACTTGAAAAAGGAAGATGGAAGTTGAGAACGAGAAGCGCGACAGATTTGTATTGAGAGAAGTGTTATATACGTCGAAGACGGGGACTGTATTAAATAAAGCTATAACTATGGTACGAGATGGGAAGTACTCATTTTTTGTTGTTAAGAGTTTGTTATTAAAATTTTGAGATGTTTGAGTTTCATTTGATAGTAACTGAAAGGGATTCCAATACCAAAAGACGATCCAACGGTGTTGGAAGGGATTCGACGAGAAGTTGAAGTCTCGAAAATCGTTGACCATTCTTATATAGTTCGTTGTTATGATGGGTTTCTGTGTGAATATGAAAATAAATTGGAGTATTGGATGGTGTTAGAGTATTGCCCACAAAAGAGCGTCGACTTTTATACCCACCAAAGGAAATGCCTGACGGAAGGAGAGAAGTACTTCTTCTTGTGCGACCTTTCAATTTGTATGGAATACCTCATTCAAAGTTTACACGTCCAACATCTCTCGTTGAACCCTCACAACCTCATATTGACTAAAGACACAAGCTCCCCAATACCAAAACTGAAAGTCGCCAACTGCTTTGAACACGTCAGGTATGAAACACCAAAGGACAAATTCATGCACAACCCCTTCTATGCCGCACCTGAAATGTACTTGGGGAGAATCGAAGAGAACTCTGACATCTGGTCGATCGGTATTTTGATCTATGTCCTCTTCTCGAATAAGTTTCCGATGCCACCAAATAAGGTGTTCGAGTTCTTGTCAACACAACAGAAGTTTGATTTGGAGCCACTCAACTCGTATGCGTCGTTGAAGGACTTACTTAAGAGGATGCTTGTCGTTTGTGATTTATTTATTATTAATATAAAGTATTACTCTATTTGAACTCTTTGTTGATTTATTTAACATATTGAAATTCATTTTATAACAATTAGTATGACCCAGCTCAACGTCTGAAATGGTCCGAATTTTTCATTCATCCATTTATCCAAAGATGTCGTGACTATAAAATCGATGAGATCCACACGGACGCATCAAATTATACTCCAAAGAAGATCATTGGGAAGGGAGCATATGGTGTTGTCTTTTTAGCTTCACATACTCAAGACGGTGTTACTGAGTTAGTTGCAATGAAAGAGACTGGAGAGAGTAAAAGTGACTTTTTACTCAAAGAAGCGCGAGTAATGCGGTTGTGTGTTCATCCAAATGTTGTTGCGTTTCATGAGTATATATCATCTCCCGAAAAGCTTTCCCAAGCGTGTGTAGAGCCCACGGACATCGTTGTTCGAGAAAGTATATTAGAGTCTCATTATTATTATATGGTGATGGAGTATTGTGAGTTGGGTAATCTCGAGAAGTACTTAGAGAAGAATGGCGGGCCATTGTCGACGAATGAGATCTTACATTTCTTAGCAGAGATAGCCAGCGGGTTATGGTATCTTCATTTCTGTAAACACATCATTCACAGAGACTTGAAGTTAGAAAATTTCCTCTTATGTAAACCCGAAGGAAGAGAGAAGTATCCCAGACTGAAAATAGCAGACTACGGACTCTCAAGAGCTTTTGGAGATGATTCACAACTGATGCAAACGAATGTTGGAACATTTATATATGTCTCCCCTGAAATAAAGAATCATAAGGTATATACAACTAAGAGCGACTTGTATTCCCTTGGTGTCGCTTTGTATCGACTCGCGACATTTGAGTACCCATTCTCCGCTAATAAAGCCACTATAGACTACGCGTTCCAAACGAAACAACCAATTAGCTTCCCGTCGTACGTCAACGTCGAATTTCATTTACAAGACTTAATCAAGAAACTTATTACACACGACGAGGAATCGCGACTGTCGTGGAGAGAGTTTTTCGCTCACCAATTTGTGTACAGAGCGATGCAACACCACGCGGCGCAAGGGTATGGCATGCCTACGGCGCATGACTTTGACTTGTTAGAAGAGCAACAGATCGTCGACATCGATTGAATGGTTTTGTATATTCCACCTTTTTCTGTCTCCACATTCCATCAACCTCTCAATCACGCTCAAAATGAGTAGTTGCGCTGAGTTTTATTCCGACACAAAACTCATTTTCACCGTGATTGCCGTCATTCAATGATTTTTATTAATTAATTGAATATAACAAAAGTACTATAAAATGATAGACGTTGGAATGAGTAATGAAGTTCCGCATGTAGTAGCTGGTTCATATAAAAAGGATTATTGTGCGTTTTGTGACGTTTTCATCCCTCCATCACTAGTCGGACCGTTTTGGGTAGGGATATATGTGATTGACAGAGAGTTTGATAACAAATATAGTTCCTATCAAGTCTGTACTCCGACGAGCAAACGGATTTCGTTTGATCCTCTTCCAGCCGGGATGTATGAAGTTCGACTCTTTAAAGATCGATATACACGCTTAGCCGTTTCCAATGTCATATACCTTGGAGGGAAAGCCAAGATCTCTTTTGCCAAAGATCTTGAATTCCCGCATTTGATAATTGTTTACTATCAAGAGATCTCAACATCAGAAGACTGGATCGGCTTATTCGAAAAAGGTGTCCACTCGATGAAACAGTTCATCGCTCGTCAAACTGTTTCCGTCACACAGAGAAATGTCAAGTTCAACTGCCGACTCCTTAAGGTCGACCCGACACGGTATGTCGGGGATAAATGTATACTGAGAGAGTTCGAGTTCAGATACTTTAAGGAACACTCAGTCGTGTCAAGTACAACAGCTCCGTCGGGATACTCAAAGTCATTTACTTTGGACTTCCCGTCACTCCATGCCGAGAGATTGTTTGTTCTAGTTTTTATATTAAATACTTATTAGAATGAATTCTACTCTACCTATAATATTATTATTATTTAAAATATTATTATTTAATAGTTTAATAAACAGAACGGTCGACGCTATTCATGTCATATGGAAGAACACACACCACAACATCTGGATCGGTGTCTATAAAGACAAGAACGCCACGTCGTATATGACGTATGAGTACGCAAATCAAGACTGCGACTTCATTAACTTTAAAGTGAAATATGTTGAAGGAGAAACTTGGGAATTCAGGATGTTTTCAACACAATCAAAGGAAATGCTTTGGAAGTGTGAATTGACTAAAACATTGTTTAACTAAATGGCTGACTTTTTGTGTTATACAAATCTTAGGGAATGAATAAAATAATTCGTCTATTTTAAAACAATTTCAATAAGATTTTTTTAAATGTCAAAAACTGTTTTGTACCATATTTATATGGTTTAATTATAGTTTATTAAATAACTCTTTTCTTGATTTTTGATGATAGATCCAATAAAAATATTATTAAATTATTATTAAACTATTATTAAATTAGAATTAAACTAAAATTAAACTAAAATTAAACTAATAATGAAATTTTTTTCAAAACGACAAAAACAACAACTTGAATTTACCATTTTTTTTCATTGTAAATGTACTTTTTGTTAGCATTTTTCGTTTTGTCGATCACTCTATCTCATGACGTTGATGATGACTTAGATTTTGACTTTTTATACGAAGATTATGACGACTTTGACGATGATTTGGATGTAGAAGATTACGCACTTTTAGACGAATACGATCTGAAAGAAGATATGGATTATGATGATTTTGACGACCAGGTACCTCAACAATTTAAAGGAGAGACTCTTTTGGGGCTATAATTGAATATCATTTTCATCCCAATTTTCAACTTTTGTTATTCGATTTTGTTATTGATCTATAGAAAAAATGTTATTGTTGAGTGAACTGAATAATCATGACGACTTCGCCGCCGGTGTTTGTGGACATGTCGTTTGTGCTGACGTGTTGTATGGTGTGCATGTCGCTGTATTATGTGAAGTTACCGAAGACGTATTTGAAGGGCTGTGTATTAACAATCTTAGGTGTAATTATATCGTACATAGTAGTAACAATATGGCAATTCATGGAAGTCACAGACACTCGTTTGTATGTGATTTTTATAGCCCCGACACTGTTAGGTGTAGTTGTTGGTGTTGGGATAGTCTTTAAATTTAAGCCAGCTCAATTCCCAATCTTCATTAGCTTCTTGACACTCATCAGTTCCCTCTCTTCATTCACAATTGTCACTTCAGAGTTTCTCAAGCCAACGTATTTCTTTTTAAATGAGAACGAGCGGAGAGACACCCTCGATTTACTCTTCATAGAAATTTGTATTGGAATGGCCTTCAGCGTCTTTTGCTTTGTCGGGCACATCGCCCTTCTCCTGCGCCTCGTGCACATTTTCCCCGACACGAAGTTACGGGTGCCTCTTCGTGGTTTTTTTGTGATCAGTTCGTTAGTCCTCACAGTGCTCTTCTCGACATTTATCATTTTCATTCGCGACAATTTAGTGAAGATGATCTTTTACTTTGTTAGTGTTGGGTTAGTAGGGATTAGTGCCTTTATGGTGACTATGGTAGATCACTCTGATTTATCGATAATGACAGGACTCTTAGAGTCCATGAGTGGATGGAGTGTAGTAGTAGTAGGGTTTTTACGACAGAATGAGGTTGTAGTCTTCTGTGGGAGTATAATAGGGATGTACTGTATCACAACGGCATTTGACTCATGTTCGACTAAACAAGTCTCGTTGTTGAGTCTCTTCTTCTCAAACACAAAGAGCACAAATGACTTCGACGGTGTAAAGAAGACGGTCGAAGTCCCTCAAATCACTCTTAAAGAAGTCGGGAGGATGTGTCTTGAGAATCAAAATATCGTTATAGTGCCAAGTTATATATCTACGAGGACACAAAACCAAATCTATTTCTCGGACTTCTTGGCACTCATGAAGGAAAAGGAGAAGAACGTCAGAATAGCAATCCACCCTAATGTCGAGGTACTACGAGGGTTTCTTGAAATCGTGATGATATTAGGAAAAGTGAAGTCTGAGGATTTGTGCTCGTTTGAAATCAACGAAAGAATGAAAGATATCGATTTGGCTATTATCCTCGGCGATTGTAGAATGACCCCCTACTCATCAGCACTTTGGAAGAAATTTGAGGTGGACAAAGCTTTACACACCGTCGTCATTTCTGATAAACAACTCATCGAAAATAAAGAAGAAAATGTCTTGTGGTGTCAGACAACTATCGGAAGCGGATTGGAGTCACTTGTCGACTTTTTAAGACATGCAATTTATTGAACTGTTTGTGTAAAAGTATGGTTTAATTATGGTTTATATATCAATACTTTATAGTTTCAATGGATTATGAAAGAAAGGGAATTTTTTAATTTTTTTTTTTATTTAATTAAATTAGTTAATTAATTTATTTAATAGTTTTTTAATCTCTATTCTAGTTTTGTATCGTATTATTAATAGTTCAATGTCTTTGAAAACTCTTTAAAAACTTAAATTTTTGAAATAATAATATTAGTTTATTAATTGTTAATTTTATGTATAATTACTACAAAAAAATAACTTTTGTTTTAATGAGCAAAAATTGAGTTGTTTTTTTCACTTTTCCTGTATTACCAATTAAATGTAATATTAATTATAATTATGGTACATTTAAAAAAATACGAACTTGTCAAATTTGCTTCGAGTTATTCGTAAATTACTAGTAAATTACTAGTAAATTATTAGTAAAATGAATACTACAAAGTAATGATACAAATTCAACTTGAAAACCGACATGTCAGTTCCCCGGAAAAGAGGACTAACAGTCAGTCGGAAGATTAAAGTAGTGAGTCCTCTCAAGAATAATCCAATTATTGTCGACTCTGATTACACACAAGAAATGCCTAACATCCCAATGCGGATTCATCAAGCTTCTGACAGAAGTATCTCCACTAATCCACAATGCGATTTAACTAACTTCTTTGTTCAAAATTACAAGACGGAGTCAACTACACCTCCTCCACCAACATCACCAGTCTCTAAAATCATCACCCCTAAATTCTCTTTGGTTGACTCCCTCATCCAAAATTATGACTCGGAAAGTATTAGCGTTATACAACAACTCTCTATCTTACAGAAGAAACAGTTCACCTTTATGGAAAGACCACTCAAAGATCTCATTCAATCGTTGAACACCGACAACACTTCCTTATTGTAATTACTATATTTTTACTATTATTTTTACTATTATTTTTACTATTATTTTTACTATTATTTTTACTATTATTTTTACTATTATTTTTACTATTATTTTTACTATTATTTTTACTATTATTTTTACTATTATTTTTACTATTATTTTTACTATTATTTTTACTATTATTTTTACTATTATTTTTACTATTATTTTTACTAGTGGTTGTTCTAATACTTTTTTTAGTAAATATAACATTTGTTTTTTTACAGAAAACGAAAGGAGGTTTTACTACAATTTTGTTATTCAAATCAAACTCTCATTTACTTACTAATATTTATTAATTAAAATATTATAAATGAATAATTTGAGAAGAACTTCAAAGACTTAAAAATCAAACCCATAATGAGCCAAAACGAAATAGAAACAAACGGTATGACCCTCCTTTTTGAGTTTTGTAAAAACAGCCACATTCGATTGGATGTGAGCAATCAGTACAACCCCGAAAAAAACGAAATTTTAACAACAATCCATATAAATGAGGGTGTTGTTTATCAACAAACAAAACCTTTCGAAACCTCTTTTTTTTCCTCTAAAACCGCACTTTCTCTTATTGCCCTCGAGGCATTGTCTATAATCGACAACCAAAACGCACAAAACTATTCCAATCTCATCACTCAAACAAAAACTCAACAAGACGTCACACCCCCCTCTTTACTGATTGCAACTCTTCCCACCTCCTTGGAAGTCTTTGCTGTCCCGCCACCCCGTGACAGGGAAAGAAGATATGAAAAGCGTTTTCCACCACGAGAACAACGATATATGGATCGGCCACAAGAGAAAAGGTATAGAGACGACTATAGAGATCAATATAGAGATAATTATCAGAGAAGAGATAGACAATATCCACAAGCTAATAAAGAGGAAATGGACGCAGATAAGGTACTTGAAAGATTGTCACAACACTACGGGAAAAGAGTCGATACCCAATATTCGAAGTTTGAAGAAGGCGTGGGGTGTGCGATTCGATATGGCGATTTGTCGTCGTACGCATCAGGACTCCAGGAACTTGACGCAAAAGCTATAGCTTCGATGGAACTATTAAAGAAGCTATTCCCGAAGTCACAGAATAATTACGAGGCTTTGAGAGCAGCAAACGAACAACTCACATTCTTGAACGCTCAGATCCAAAGACAGACGTATCAACACCAGGAGTTTCAACCACGTGGATATTACAACGCCGGATACCAACAACAACAATTCCAACAAAGTTATCCACAAAACACAACGGGAGGGGGCTATAGTTATAACCCTTATAAGTAATTTATTGTTATTTTATTATTTATTACGTGTTTTTATTCAACCATTTATATCAACAAGGCACGCCACTACTTTGTGACAATCGATGATACTAACTGAAGTAAAAATGTTACACAAGATGATACCAACATCAAAATAATATGGAGAATATAAAAATTGCGATTGAATGTTTTTATAACTTATTTTTGGTTTGTAGTGATAGTAGATCACTTCTTCGGTTTAAGTTTTTGCTAACAAATATTTAAAGTGTTTTAAATTGTCCTTATATGTGAGGTGAGTGTTTTTTGTATAATTCAACCAATTCAATTCAACATTGTTAATGATTGAGATGAAAAACTACATTTCAAAATTATTTAAAAAACAACTTTATTTGTTGAAACTATATCTAGATAATAATTGTAATAAACAACTCTGAAATCCATGTGCTTCTATTTTCAATAATTCAGTTACAAAAAACAATATTTTTTACACTTATGAAATGTAGAATATTGAGTTCTATAATTACAGAGAACACTTCATATTTTTCTTCATATTTCTTCAATAACAATTGTTATTTCTTAATAATATAAAAAGACCTTTTAAATACCAAACTTCTTCTTTTTGTTTTAATAAATCGATTTTTAAAAAGTTGAAGTTGATATTTAATATAACAGAGGTGTGTATAAATTAATTAATAGACATCTATTTTTTTAAACAACTTGTATCATCATTAGATAGAATGTTGAAAGTTCACCAAGAATTAAATTTCACTCCAACTAATGGTACATACGACCTCCAAGCACTCCGATGGCATTTTTCATATGGAGGAGTCTTAACAATTCCTTCAGTTGAAAAAATTATTCAAAAAGCCAAGGAGATATTAGTTTTTCAGAATAATGTTGTAGATGTCACTGGGGACGCTATAGTGTTCGGTGACTTACATGGCAACTACTTCGATTTCATCACTGAGCTTGATGATGTGTTTGTTTTCTTCATTGTGTAATTTTTTTTCAAAATCAAACTTTCAAATGGAAGTTGTCCTTTTCTATTACAAAAGTATTAATATAATTATAATAAAATTATTATTTTAAATATTAGAAATTAATCAGTTGAAATATAGTATATAAATTAGTAAAATAACTATAAAAATACAAAAAGGGAGTATATGAAGGACAAGAGTACATTTATTTTTTTGGGTGATTATGTTGATCGTGGCTCCTTTTCATGTGAAATAATTATAACAGTTTTATGTCTCTTAATCAACAATCCAACACGTGTAGTCTTACTTCGAGGGAATCACGAGTGTTTACGTACGAGTACTGTCTATGGATTCATGCGAGAATGTAGTTGGAAATACAGTGAGTCCCTTTACATCAAATTTGCATTACTCTTCCAGACGTTACCTTTAGCTTCATTACTTCACACGAAGAGTGGTGTCTATTTTCTTTCACATGGAGGGTTCAGTCAATGGTGCATGGACATTACTTCTATCAACAAAATACCACGAAGACTTGAACCAGAAGATAATACTGACTTATTAGAAATGGTATGGTCGGATCCATTGAGTGATACTTTAATTGAGAATGATAAACACCTTTCAGAGCATTGGAATACCCTTCGATTCATGCCAAATACAGTGCGGAAATGTGGGAGTTATTATGGGTATAATGCTGTGAAGGAGTTTCTTGATGCCATTGGAGCGAAGTGTTTAATACGAGAACATGAATGTGTCAAGAATGGAATAGCAACTACCTTCTTTGGAAATACAGAGAGTACTTATCCATTGTGTTACACGGTATTCTCTTCTCCAAATTATATTGACAAAAACAAAGGGGCTATTCTATTATTTATGAATGAAAAAATAGATGTCAAAAGGTATTCTGGTGGTGATGTGACTCTCAAATATACTCCACTCCTTATCAATGGCATTTCTTATTGTAATTATGTCTTATGTAGAACACTGGATACTCTCTTCAAACTTCTCATCTTAGACACCTTCTCATCAGTAGACTCCGATAGTGATGAACAAATCACGTCTAATCCACCAATTGAAGAGTCAATTGCAGAACAAAACTCAAAAAAGAAGAAGAGACGTAATAACTCTTTAACTCAAGTTAATTGCAAAGAAAAGAAGAAGAAGCTCTCATGTTCAATAGCCTGCGAGAACCCGACAATGCGTTTGTTTATTCTATTGTTTTATAGTAAATGTTAATAGTGATAAACTATATGAAGTATAATAACTTGTTATATAACAGATTGATGACAGGCAGACAATTTGATGATTGCTGAAGAGGACATAGCACCCCAGAAGTGCGAGAAAACGATGAGAGTTGTCAATAAAGTGCAAGAAATTAGATTAGAGTCTCATGAGACGAATTAATGAAGTCCCATAATTTAAATTTTTGTTGAAATATTTTGATATAAAGAAATAATAAGAAAATATTAAAGGCATACCATAGGAATAGATAGTGTTATTTGTTCTCTCATATATGTCTGAGAAATTGCCGGGTACCCTAATCCATTGTGCTTTACACTTTGGATTCTGTATTGGGCCATAATTTTATTTAAGTTATTTAGTAGTTTTTTATTCTATAATTTTACTAAATTTTAACTTATTTAAAATGTTTTAAATGTTCGGATGTGCTTTGATACTTCAAAGACGTGATGAACTGTTTTGGATTTTTGAAATTTTCTCTTCTTGTTTTTAAAATTGGTCAATAAAACCAGTGCGCTATTTTTATATCACACAAAATTGTTTGATGCAAAAGTTTTTTTTAGATTAAAACAAGTTCTGTTCTGTTCCAAAAAAAGTTGTTGATTTTCATGTCGAAATGAGTCAAATATTGATTGTCCAATTTAAATGGTGTTGATAAAATAACCTTAAACAACAAAAAGTTGATATTACCACATAATTTAATCAATTAAACTCTCTTTTTTCTTCTTTACAGTTGTTCTGAGTTTGACAGAATAGCTCAAAGGTGATTTTGGCATTTAATTCAATGTGTGAAAATTACCTGTTTTAGATAGAACAAATTTTAAGTGTATTTTGTTGAATTGCATTTTTCTAATAATATAACCATTAAGATATCTTAAGAAATTTTCTAAATATACTATTTACAATAGATTTAAACTAGAGTCATTTGCTAAACGTTGTCTGGTCTGTAACGTTGTCTGCCGATTTTTAGACCATTATAAATGGAATATTTCGGGAATTTTTTTGAAAAACCCCAAAATCATTGTTTCAATATTTTTCCCAGTTTTTTTTCATTTTTACCTAATTCCCGTTTTTTTAAAACAAAAATCAATTATTTTTTGTCAAAAAGACAACGTTTGGGGAACAGACAACGTTTATCGACTGGCTCTATATGTTTATTCCATATGAAATAAAGATAAACATTTATTAATAGAATGAAACTCATTCTAATGTGTTGAGTCTTGTACAATAAAATGTTTATATGATAGTAATATCAAACGTGAAATAACAAGTCCTACCTATTTTAAATATTTTTGTTTTCATTTTTGGTTCAAAAGAATATAAAAAGGTACATTAGCACTTGATAATCACAATGCGAAGTATTATTATAATCATATTATGTGCTATAGCACTTGCTGACATACTGAATGAGTTCAGTGGAGATGTTGATATCTATGACATGGGTCGAATAGGGAGAGGGAAGAATGCTGGTATGTGGCAACACTCCTATGACAACGGATATGACATCTATTATTATCTTGCAATGCAGCCATGGAGACACTTTGTTTGGACTTATAACGACAATGGAGTTTGGGTGACTAAAACAATGAATGAAGATAACAATGTAGCTGATTACACCAAATTAGATACAAACACCGAACAAGACTTTTGTCAAAAGGATTATGGGTATCCCATTATGAAATTTGAAATTGACTGGGACAGAGTACCAACTGACGACACTCGACTGACTCAAGTTGATGTGAATGGAAAGACTTGTTATCAGTATGCTGCGAAATCTCCACTGGTATACGTAGTACTCTCAGCTAAAAGAGATGATGTGAAGAAGGACAATTACGACATATGTCGAATGGACTTCATTGGTGGGAAGTCAGTGACATTCAGAAGCTTTAATGGACTTAATGCGCAATTTGTGAGTGATTATTATACAAACATGACAGCCAAATGTGTTAAGCAATTTACTGCTAATAATGTGAATAGTGAGTTAGCACTTGTCTTTGGTATCAGTGACAAAGCTGCACTTAAGAATGTACAAAATGCATTTGGGAATTACAAGAATCTCGCCACAATAACAGACGTCACTGTTTATTACTTAACAGGCGAAGCTTATTCAATAGCAAAGACAACTCTTTCTAATTTGAATTATGACTTCCTTTCATCATTCGAACCAGTGAAAGGGAAAGTTGACTCTTTGATCATTGCTGCACAAAGAGACTTGGCAGACAAAGTCAGTAAAAAGTCTATAAAAAGAGGTACTATATTAGTTTTGACTGATGAAGGCATATCTCGTGAATTTACAGCGTCTACTGATTTCGATAAAAAGAATTTAACAGTGCATGTCGTCTCTTTGAATACCCAAGGAAGTGCTATGACTGCCAAATTAACAACTTTGTTGTCACTTGGAGATCACTTCCACGAGACAAGCGATAAGACACAAATAGAGGCTGTGATCAATGACGCTTTTGTTGGCATTCGAGCGAATTTAACGGAACGGTGCGATAGAACAAAGTGCAATGGATTTTGTGATGCCAAGAATCGATGCACATGTCCAATGTGTTGTGAGAACACTTGTTATTACTCATACTGTGATACTACAACTGCTTCATGCACACCTTGGCCACCAGCAAATCCAAAACAGAAGATTGTATGTCCATCGACTTGTGTTGGTGACTACACATGTAATGATATGGAAGGCTGTGTGGTAAGTCGGTATAACACTTCATGTCAACCCCCTGTCAGCTGCATGAGTACGACATGCCCAAATAATCAAGTCAGAGATACATGCAAATTGGTCGATAACTGCCAACAAGATGACACACCCGCTGCTGATGGATATTGTTGGACTTACAAATGTGATGCCATTTCTGGTTATTGTATTAAGAATACCAGAGGAACGAATAAATGTCCGTTGAAAACGTCGAATTGCCAACAATACAAGTGCAGTGCTGATTTGACGTGTACAGTCGAGACGAAAGTCTGTGTGAAGACTATGCCTTATATAGAGATGGATTGTTATATTGCAAAATGCAACGAAAAGACTGGGCAATGTGAGAACAAATTGAGTTGTGATGTCTACTCCTCATGTGGTGGTGATACTTCTGGAGAATCGATCTGTTACTGTAATGCCACAACAAACAATATCTGCAAATGTGATACTAAGCCGAATGGAGTCTACTGTAATGATAACACTCAGATCTGTGATTACACTGGTGATACTCCAAAATGTGTCAACTCGATTTGTAAAGAAGATTTAACTATTAAAGACTGTATGGTCTCTTCATGTAATGAAACAACGGGACAATTAATATGGAACCCAATTACATGTACTGGAACGGTCCCCGCAGATACCAATTGTGCTAATATGTATGTCTATGGATGCACGAACAATGTATGTACCGTAGTTCAAAAAGTGACTGATTCCGAATTAAATGTGAATTGTGGGATATGTAAATGGGACGCGACACAGAACAAAGTTGTGTTTACCACAACATGCACTTCTTTGCAATCGTCGTGTGGAGGATTCAATGGCGTTTGCAGTGCAAATGGAATGATGTGTATGTATCCAAACCAAGTGAATGGTGTAACTCAAGACCCACAGACCTTCTGTCAAGTCTGTTTACCATTGACCTGTGGAGGGGATAGTACTGTTTACAAATACACATATGATACAACAACTGGGAAGTGTAGTTACGCTATGAACAAAGTCCCTCAATGTTCCGTCTGTGAAACAAGCACTGGTCTCTATACCTCAGTCTGTGACAATATCAAGTTAGAGAAGACTTGGACTTCGAAGAGTGGGGCTAATATCACTTACAAAATTCCAAAGGATTGTAGGAACAATCAGTGCATCCCAAGATACCCAGTAACTTGTTTGGAAGAAGAACTCTTTGAAGACGTTTTTGCTCAGTTTGGGGTATGTATGGACTATCTCAAGGCGTCTTATCATTATTCGTCCAAATTAGATACTTACAACTTTGTATATGGCTTTGCACAGAGTGATGAATTCATGGCTGAAGCAGACGCAGAAGCCTATTGTGAATGGAGTTTTGTCGAATCCAATTGCAAGCGATGTTTGATAACACCAAGTGGTGGAGAAGAAGAAGCCAAATTTGAAGTCTATGATGATTGTCCTCGGGACAACGGAGGTGTTCAGTATATCTGTACTTCCAATGAGTGTAAAGTTGACCCCGACTTTAAGTGTCAACCTGAGAATTGTATAGTGAAGGCTTTAGTTATATTAGAAAATGGCAGTAACACATGTGAAGATGCCTATTCATTATGTACACAACAAAATACAAAGGTAGAGTCTATCAGGAAGTCCGTCTATGATAATTATGATAATGTGGGAAGATCTATGAAATGTGATTCGACGACTTGTGTCTCAAATAAATGCCCAACAAGTGCCAATTCCAATTGTGACCAATTTGAAGAGAATCACGACTATGGCTGCAGACTCCCAACTTATGAATGTGACATTGAAAATGGATATTACTGCAAATTCAAGACTATTAATATGACCAACCCATCACAAGATAACATTTACTTTACAACTCGAGATGGCGTCCATTTTAATAACAAATGCTTTGAATACAAATGTGTAGAGACTTGTACGGGAGGGTCATCGACTTATGAAGGGAGTATATTAGATACAGCAACTCAGATGACTTGTACACACAAATGGGTAGTTACTAAAGATGTATCGAAACCAGCAAGTCGAAACCTTTGTGAAGAAGCGACTTGTGACACAACAACAGGTCTTCCCGTCTATACAGACAAGTCGTGTATTGTCTCTGAAGAGTTCCCGACTTTAACTTCAAACCAAGCTCGATGTTTCTATTGTCAGTGCTCGTATGTAGATGGCACTGCTTCTCTTGTAATGTTTGCTGATACTGAAACAGAACATTACCAATTAGATGCATGTGGTAATTGTATGGTGATGAATCAAACAGATCGAACACAACAATTGAACAACAAGGTCGAATGCATTCTAGCTGGCGAAATCAATAACACCGGTGCTATCGCTGCAGCAACTACTGTCGCTGCTGTAGTCGTAGCCCTTATTGTTGCACTCATAGCAGTGTCTATTGGCCTTTTTAAGACGTATCAATTGGTCAGTTCCGCAATGAAGAACGTCGTCAACGTCGCGAATGAAAACACGCAATTTAAGGCTGCAGAAAACGTCGCCGCGAACACCAACTTTAACGAGTAAATGCCATAAAACACTTTTGATGCTATTTCGTCCTTTGCTTGTGTTCTAATTATTCTTTTGATTTAAAAAACTATAATTCCATAGAAAATAATGATTAATAAAATATAATATGTTTCTAGTTTGCTTGTGTTCTAATTATTTTTAATTTAAAAACTATAATTCCATAGAAAATAATGATTAATAAATATATAATTTGTTTATAGTTAAATACTGGTATAAGAATGTTTTATAAATTATAGCTTGAATTATAATAAAATAGTTATTCAGAGTGATAAACTAATAAACATAGTACAATGAATTAATTTACTTCACAAACGTGTTTTTGTTGTTGACGAAGACACTCACCGATGGGGGAAGTGTGAATTCTACCATCCTACACGACACTATTTTAAGTTCCCTGAGGCTTTTGCTCTTAGAAATGTCGTTTGTATATAATGTATTTCGGGAAAGGTCGAGCTTGATGAGACATTGTGGAGTTGTGATACCCGTGAGGTTGTTACACTTCCACACAGTGAGAGACGTAAGATTTGAGTGATTTTGAAGATCGAGTTTTGAGAGGTTGAGATCGTTTAAAAAAATCGACTGCAAGCTCCGTGGGAAGTCGGTGGACGGCAAAAGCTGACTTATCAACGTGATGAGTACAAGGTTGGGAAACAGTTCGAATATTGGCATATCGCTGCAGGCTGTCAGGGAGAGCCGCGTTAATCCGATATTGGTTCGACTTGATATACGAGATTGGACAGCTTTGACCTTTTTGATGCTATCTGGCAGAACGAGATTTAACAATTGATTTTTTGAGAGGTATATTGACGCAAGAGGAGGAACGAGAGGAACATTTAAGAGCTGAACATTCTCGGTTATTTCAATTTTCCTGAGCGAGACACCAACAAGACCCACACTTGTTAAGTTTTTGCAAGAGCACACTGCTAACATTGTCACTGTTGTTGGTATCTGCACACTAACAAGTTCATTACAACGGAAGAGTTTCAACTGCCGAAAAGTGCAATTCATGATATTTGGGAAGAAAGTGACTGGTGAACTTGAGAAGATTAGTTCGTTCAGGTTCGTAGGAAGAAGTGGACGAGAGAGTGTTAACGCAACAGAAAGAATTTTTGATGCTGGTAGATTGAGTAAATGAAGGTTGTGTATTGTAGACACACACGACTTCACGCACGTCAGACCCGTTAGTGTAAAGGGAAAAGTTACTGTATCCACAACCACATTATCAAATGTCACATTTTCAAGACAAACGTATTTCAAGTCGAGTGACGGTAACGTGCACCGCGTCAATTTTAAATTCTGGAGGTTGGTGGGAACTGTCAAATTTTTAGAACAGTCTAAACCAGTCACACAGAGGGATTGAATGTGTGTGTTGTGAATAGCAAGTTTTTCTGTCTTTTTATTTAAACCAATATAAAGGTGGAGCTTCTTCCCATATTGAATGTACATTTTCTCCGCTTCCAAGTCGTCTGCTTTAGCAACATTTAAGTACCCGAAGTAGGGAAGTAATATCACAAAATATGGAAGTTCGCTGATTTGGTGGAAATACAGACCAACGTACGCGCCAAACGAATTCAGTTTGTACAAATTGTCAACGTCCTTCTCTTCCGCATTTCTGATTTTGAAAATCGACTTCTTGAACTTGAGGTTCGTTGATTTGTCATACTCTTCCAAAAAGCCATCCAAGTGGTTTGCAAAGCAGTCGATGACGATTTTCTTGAGTGTCGGCAGGAACGAAAGTTGTCTCCCCGAAAACACGTTTCCAGCTTGGGAATTGGCTTGAAGGACTAAATAGAGAGATTGGATATTTGTCATTTTCGCGTAGTTCACTCGTGAAAAGCAGTTTGTTTGTATGTGGACTTCGACGCACATCTGAAGCCAATTTGACTGGAAATTCGTTTCTTGTGAAGCGGTTATAAACCCTATAAGAAACACAACACTCCGCGGAAGCTTTATGTCATTTAGCATTGATAGCGTACACTTCACCGTGTGAAGCTTTGGGAAGAATTTCGAAAACTTTTCAAGGAAGGTTGAGGTTGGTTTGTTATCAGAAATTCTGTACGGGATGATGTGAAGCATTCCAACTGCCTCTTTACATTTTTTGCTCACACAAAAGAACTTGTGTAACGTTTTCGTCGAGTCTAAGTACAAAACGATATTCATCATATAAATAGGTTCTAATTTACTCATTGATGAAGTTATTTGATAATCAGTTTCTTCCAATATTTTTAATTTTTTTCACCAATTTTTCTATATTTATTATTCACTTTTTTAGTTCATTTTAAGTAAGTTATTCTACCATTTCTTTTGTTGTTCGAAGTATTGAATTTCGCAGTTAAATGTCTTTTAATTATTGTATTCAAACTCCTTATACTTGTTTGTATACTTTAAGCGCCACAACTCTCATAGTGAGTCATGTTTCTACAGACGTTAAGGCTCCAAGTTTTAGACTCCAATTTTTACATAGTAAAAAGTATATACAATAAATAATTATAATAAATAATTATAATTAATAATTAATAATAAAACTTATTTAACTATTAATTGAGAAATACAGAAAGATTAAAAAGACAATGCTCAGCATCACAGGATCGACTCACATCAATGACCCAATTTTGTCGACATACTTAGATCCCACATCATCATCAGTGTTATTAAAAGCGGGTATTAAAACTGTTGACGACTTTATCAAGACACCCCTGATTAAGATATCTCCGCTTTTTGTTGAACCTGAAAAGTTGAGTAATTTTTTGAAGATGTTGTGTTGTCAAATAGTTCCGAACAGATACACTCTTTTAGACTATGCAGATAACATGGAACACACCGAATGTACTACAGGAATACCGGCAATCGACAGTGCATTGCCCACCCGTCACATGGAGACGGGGAAGATATATGATTTAGTAGGGACGGTTGATAGTCTTTATTATCGAGTGTTAGTCACAATTGCTTGTTGCTTCATTAAACAAACGAGTCGCCCAGTGTTATGGATCGACACAATCCGAGATCTGGACTTTGATATAGTCTATGACGTCATTGTGTCACAACTTGAACTCTCTACACAAGACGCTCATACCTATTTTAAACAGATTCATGTCGTTGTCGAGCATTCCCTCATCAATTTGATCAACACCTTTAATGACTCTCTCGTTTGTTTTTTTACTATTATTTAATAAGTATTATACTATTTGTTTACTAGTAAATAATAAGGAATAGAATGAATGCGGACTCGTCATCTTCAATAGCCTTTCTTCCCTCACACGACACGCACTGAGTCTTTCCTCCCCATTGTATAAACACACCGTTAAGTTCATCAACACAGTAAGTCGCATCGCAGAACAAAAGAAACTTGTAGTTATAGTTTGTTTTTAGTAAAGTTATTAATATTGTCTGAATACTATTGAGTATAGTTTATTTAAACTAGAAGTGATGTGCAGAATATGAACTTCCTCCAATACGAAATGAGTACAGACAAACAACCTCATCTTGTGACTACAATTGACAACAACTTGTTTTACCAGTACGCCAATGTCCAAGTACTGCTGTTAACTGGTGACAATCAAGTCTCCGCTCAACTCACGAAACCAAGAATAGTCTTTCTTAATGAAAAGTGATAGTTCTATACTGCTAATAGTTATTTATTATAATTTATTAATTTTCAATAATTGAACTATAATTGTAATTATATGTTACTATATGTTACTAAATTTATATATAATAAAAGGAATTAAAATGATAATTTATAAATACAAAAGAAAAAAAGATTTGAAAACGATTTTTTCACAAAAGATTAATAAAACTATATATTAATGATACAAGAACTATTAATAAAACTAGAAGTGAAGTAAAAGTGATATAATATCCAATAAACTATAATTAACTAGAAAATCAAAGCAAATGTTTTGTCCATGGGAGAACATCACATGCAACTGTTGCAACAAGACGATCACCTCAACGACTCGAATCACATGCACGATATGTGATAATTTTGATTTATGTTTAGAGTGTTTTTCACAAGGGAAAGAGGTAGGTCGGCATAAGAACGACCATGGATATACCGTAGTCCCTACACTTCACTTTCCTTTGTTAACACCTGATTGGGGAGCTGATGAAGAATTGATGTTATTAGAAGCTATTGAAGAGAAAGGGTTAGACAATTGGGTAGAAGTCCAAAACTTTGTGAAGACAAAAGCTGCGCGGGAGTGTCGCAGTCATTACTTACAATATTATTTAGAAACACCGACACATCCACTTCCCGACATGACTGACGCTTTTCTTGTCAAAAATGGGATCGTTGAGATGAAGCCTGCTAAAGAGGTTAGATTGAAAGATGAAGAGTTCGACGCACGCCCTGAAAAGGAAATAGCTTACTCACAACCCGTCTATGATGGCTTCGAAGCTCAATTTAATCCATATCGAAAAGAATTCGGATTCGAGTTCTTTAATAACGCAGAGCTCTCAATCACTGACGTCTCTTTCGGCCCAGATGACACTCAAGAAAGTAGAGAAGCTACTTTTAAAAGACTCGAACAATATTATAAGATGTACATCGAGCGAATTCGCGTCAGAAATTTGGCAATCGAAAACGAACTCGTCGACCCTAAGAAACTCAGAGTCGCTGACAGAAAGAGAACTAAAGAGGAGAAAGAAGTTTTCGAAAACTACAGACACTTCTTACCTGTTTTGGGAAAGGATGATCTTGAAAAATACATCAAGGCGTCTGTCGGTTTGTTGGTTGTTTTTTTGTGGAATTTTTTAGTTCTTTTTATTAAAAAATTATTTATTATTAAACTATTATTAAACTATTATTAAACTATTATTAAACTATTATTAAACTATTATTAAACTATTATTAAACTATTATTAAACTATTATTAAACTATTATTAAACTATTATTAAACTATTATTAAACTATTATTAAACTATTATTAAACTATTATTAAACTATTATTAAAATAAAGAGGAAGGCAAATTGATTGGCAAACTCCGCAAATTAAGACAAAAACGAAGGGAAGGGTGTTTGACAATGGAAGAAACAAAAGAGAGGAGGAGATCGACAACAAAAATATTTGAGTCAGAGACAAAAGCAGCAATGAAAAAGCCGATGAAACGCCCACACGCATAAAATGTTATTTGAATGTTATATTTTGTTATTGAAGAGTATTATATCAAACTATACAACAATTAGATATGTGTTATAGTAGTTTTATAGTAATTATATAGTTTAAAATGGTTCAAATCAAACCAATCAAATCATCAAATAGAAATTCCCGAGAGGAAGGCGACCAGAGAGAAGTCTGTGTTGAAAAGAGCATCGACAGGCTTCCACAATTTGGTCAAAGTATTGGAAATGGACTTGACTGCTTCTTTATGTCTTTCGTTAATCAATTCTTGGATGTGTGTCTATGTGTTACTCTATACCTCCACTTCTTCAACGAATAACTCCGTAGAAGAATAGAATAAAAGAAACAAACTCTCATTGTGACCTGAGTCATTGTAATAATAAAATCGTAGTCGCGGTACGACAACAGTCTTCGATTCAAGAACTCCAAGAATGTGTCGAGAAGCGCAAATTCGTTGTGCGACAAATTGCGAATCTCAAAGTCAAGCTTCGAGGAATTGAGCGACTTCAAATACTCCAACGTCTCGTCGTCATTCTTCTTCATCAACTTGTCTTCAAGTATCGACTGTAAGACGATCGGTTGGGTGGTGAGATTATTCTCCAACTTCACTGGCTGGAAGATCTTACTGCTCTGTGTGAATCCAGAAGGTATGAAAAATGGAAGCTCTTCTATGTCCACCGTTTTGCCTTTCTCAATCTGGTTCTCTTTCCTCAACTTGTCAAGTACGGGAAGATTTCGCCACGTGGTCTTCGCGTCACTCATTTCAAGAAGCTTTTCAATCTCTCGCAATTCCTTCGCCTCAATCTGCATCGGTTCAATCTCCTTGTCATACAAATACTCTTTATAACTTTTGATTTTCTTTTCTATATTAAAGCTTACTGGAATCGGCTCCGAACTCGCCGTTTTCAATATTAGTGAAAAGAAATCCCTCAACAAAAAGACCTTCACATCTTTCCCCAAATTCGCTGTCGCAACAAGAAATTGTCCATTTGAACTTATGTCCATTGAGGTAATCCCAAACGTCGTCTTCACATAATCAATTTTGTTCATCGTGATCACGTCATACACCTCAAGAATCTGACACGTGTACGCAACAAATAACATATTGCCTTTAGCATTAAAACGAATCGCACTCACGTCATTCTCAAGTTGCAATCTTCGAATCACCCGACGTGTCGTGACGTCAATAACGTATAACATGTTCTGTCCATCGACAACAAGCAACAAATTATTCACCTTCTTGAACTCAAAAAAGATGATTGGAGATTCAGATCGGAGTAATACGTCAAGAACTTTTCCCGTTTCAAACTCCCACAACAAAACCGTCCCGTCACTGGAAGACGACACAACAAATCGGTCGTTAACGTCACAATCAACACCTGTCACTTTCCCGGTATGGTGATTATACAAACAAACAGCATTGCCAGATTCAACATTAAATCTGTCAATCAATCCATTCGAACTCCCATAAATAACAAAATTCCCACAATGCGAAAAACAGACAGACGTACCAAACGTCAACTCATCACTCGAAAGGCCGGGATTGACACTGTCGGAATGGAGAGATTTAACGGAGAAGATAAAACGGGTCCGGATCAGTGCATTATTATGAACACTCCACAAAAGACCATAAGGAGTGTTGAGGTGGGTTGTCGCAACTGTCCCCTTCAACAAGTGGTAACGGCTGTTCGTCGCAATGCTTGTCACTGTCTTTACTAATTTGTCTTTCTTCGACCCTTGAGCCACGTTACCTATGCGCTGACCAAACTCGGTGCTGTCGAAGAAATTAGTGAGTGAAGAGACTCTGACAGAGCCATCAGGCGCAGCTGTGATCACGGAGTTATCACTGTAGAGCTTTAAAATGTTTGGTGTTTGTGTATGGCCTTTGAGTTGGGTGGACAACATTGGCATTAAAATACCGGAGTCGGGATCGCAACGGAAAAGTCTGATTGCGTTATCTGAGCCAATGGAGAAAAAGTGAAGCTCGTTTGGTAATGAGAACAAGGTGTGGACAGCCTTGGTGTGGTGATATAAATTGCCAACAAGAGCGGAGGTCTTGACAGAAAGAATTGTAATAACACCACTGACGTCACCAACACACAAGAATAAATCGTCGTTGGGAAGGCCAGTCAAGAAACACATACTCGTCGGTTGGCTTGCCACTTGAAGAGAGAATATCTTCTTGTTCTTCTTTAAATCAAATAAAACAACTTCACCGGTCCTCAGTGCGATTGCGTGGATGTCTACATCTGGTGACTGGCATATCGATGTGATTTTCTCTGAAAATGTGAAAGTAAAGAGCGTCTTTTCGGTGTTGAAGTTGTAAAGGAAGATCTGTGTGTCTTTAACTAAGAGAACTTTGTTGACATAATCCTTGGAATGGTACAAGATAGGCGATTCGCATGGCATTTTCAACTTTTTCACTTCGCTTTTCGATGAAACAGAAATGATGTGCAAGAAAGACTCCGTGGTGACCAACAAAAACTCCCCAATCAGTATTGAAGAAAACACCTTGCCACCAATTTCCATTTTAGTCAACGCCTTTTGTGAGTCGATGAAGTGCACAAAGTGCTTTGTTACAACAACGTAAGTGTCAGCAGTCGAAAAAACACTCAAAACCTTCTCCTCGAAAAAGTCTGATTGGAAGTTGTAGACAATTCCCCTGGTAACATTGTATGTAATAAAGGTGTGATTCACTGGGACTAAAAGTTGCAACATATCGTCTCTATATGTCAATGATGCTGGTTTTTCCCCTGCGTACTCTCCGATTGTCTTGAAACAACGAATTGTGTTTGATTGATTTTCAAATGTCGTCATCAGAGCAACACAGTTTACTTTTAAAAATTTTAGGGTTTTTCCTTTGTTAACTAAAAACAATTTATTATCTTTTTGTTTTTCGATTGGTTTTCTTTTTTTTTTCCACGAAATGACACATAATAATTTTATTATAAAAGAATAATTTAAACTACTAAAAAAGAATCTAATAGAGCAATTCGTTAAATAAAAAAAACGTTAATTTATATGTGACTCTTTACTTACACTCCGCCACTTAACAAATAATATAGTAAAACAATTATAAAAGAACTATAACTGATATCACTTAGTTTTGGATGAAGTGTTTGTTCAGAGCACAAAACTGGAAAGACAAATAGAAGTGATGTCTCTTCCCACCAAAAAGATACCACGGGAATATTACGAGACACGTTTGCTCATAGGCTGTGGTGTCTCGACATGCCAAAACACGTTCTGCCGTTCATCCCCACAATTTCAAGATCCGGTCGACCTCGACATGATATACACACAGCAACCCCCTCTCTGTCACTTATGTTGTAACTTAGAACGTCTCAAGTCATTGACCACAGCAGCGAAAGTAGTGTTAACGCATTTAGTTGAGGAGCTCTTTCAATCTTCCGAGTCGATCATCTCTTCCTTCACAAATTCCAAAGGGGACTTCGACTTACTTCAGGCGTTCGAGTTCTGCGACTTCATCTTGAAAACGTCATCGCCGCTCTACGACGCCGTATTAAAAGGCCACAAACTGTTTCTCGCCAAAGTCAAGGAAAGTCAACAGCCGATCGAGGCGATAGTAGCGACGCTGTGTTCGGAGGTCTTTGCGGAAGACGACTCGATGGGCGAATTTTGCTCAGTAATTAAACGTGGCCCGTTTTTGGCGCGCCTTCGAGTTTTCTTGTCAAAACAAGAGAAAGAGGCCTTCTTGTGTTTCTTAGGAAATATGGAGCAGTTCTTATCCGTCCAATCCATCTTAATGAAAACTAATGATTTTGCCATCTTTTCTGCGTTGGATGTGATGAAAGTGTTTTACGCGGTCAATGCGGAGAAGAGTTATGTCGACGAAGACAATTTCTATAATGAAGTTGTCGCGAACGCACGCCCCTTTCCAAAGGACATTCAAAGTTTCTATACAAACCCAGAAAAGAGTCTTTTGAAGTTCCCTTTTGTCATCCCCGTCAATTACAAAATGAAATTTTTACACCAAGAAGCTAAACAAGAACAAGAGCAAAGTACAATGCAAGCACTCAGAGAAACTATTGCAAGAGGACAACAACAAAACATGAATCTCAATATCACTATTAGAAGAGATCACGTCTTAGTCGATTCTTTAAATCAATTGGTCGAAGCTAACGTCGCCGATCTCAAGAAACCTCTTCATGTCAAATTCGAAGGGGAAGAAGGACTTGACCATGGCGGAGTGAGAAAGGAATGGTTCCAATTGGTCACACGTGACATATTCCAACCAAATAATAACATGTTCGTCTACAATGAGAAGACTCGAATGTGTTGGTTCAACTCGACTTCACAATCCCTCAACGACTACAAATTGATCGGAACACTCTTCGGACTCGCTATTTATAACGGCGTCATTTTGGAGGCAAAACTCCCTTTGGTCGCCTATAAAAAGATGCTTGGGATCACCACGCAAATGAACGACTTAGAAGAGATTCAGCCCGAAGTGTTAAACAGTTTTAACTTCCTTAAGGACTATGCTAAGAATGATATCGAAGAAACAATGTGTCTAACTTTTCAACACCTCGAAGAGATCAACGGGCAGGTCAAGACTATCGACTTGAAACCTAACGGAGGAGAGATTATGGTAACACAAGAAAACAAATTGGAGTACATCCAACTGATGACGGACTACATACTAAATACTTCAATTGAAAAACAGTTCTCCGCTTTCATCTCGGGTTTCAAATTGGTCTTCAACAGTCGTCTTCTCACTATTTTCTCGCCACGGGAATTACAGTTGTTGGTCTCGGGTAGCGACGTATTCGACTTCTACGAGTTAGAGAACATGACAAGGTACGCGAATGGGTTTAACAAAGACACACCTGTCGTCAAATGGCTTTGGGAAATACTACACGAATACCCCATCGATCTGAAAAAGAAGTTCCTCTTCTTCGCAACAGGTTCTGACAGAAGTCCACCCGGCGGATTGGGAAACCTCAAATTCATCGTCGCGAAGCACGGCGACGCATCCAGACTCCCGACGTCAAGTACGTGTAATAATCTCTTCCTGCTCCCGCCATACGAGTCAAAGGAGGAGCTTAAAGAAAAGCTCACCTTTGCATTGAATAACACTAATGGATTTGGATTAGTTTAATTTACTTCAATTTATTTGTTTTTTATAATTATGAATGGTTCTTTGTTTATTTCCAATACCTTAAACCCAACTTATTTCCACAATTTAATCGAAGTGTCTGAAATGTTTCCCCCAGTGATCAGAATCATCTGAGTTGGGTGACACGACAGCGCTGTTACTGGTGAGTCCAGTGTATCTATTGTCGCAACGCACTTCATCGTTTCAACAGACCAAAAGTTGATGTTTCGGTTTTCGTCAGAACTGACAATGAACTTCTTGAGGAACTGGCCCTCCCTTGTGTCTGTGAGAAAATCGAACGGGACACAATCGACGTTTTTCGAAAAACCGTGAAAATACGAGGACTTGGAGTTGTTTTCAAGTTTGTAAAAGAAAGCGTCTCCATTCGACGTCGATAGCAAAATCATTTTTCCATTTGGTACGTACTTGCAGCTGTTAATTGGCTTGTCAAGCTTGAAGTGGTACCTCTCCTCGTTTTTTTCTACATTCCACACAGCGACAGATCCTTCAAGCGACGACGACATGATCTCATTCTTTCGCGACGACATTGAGGTGATAGCCTCTCTGTGTTGTTCAATTGAGTCTCCCCATTTCTGTGAAACAATATCCCAGAACTTAATGATTCCATCATCATAGCCTATTGCGAGTTTATTTTGGCAAAAACAGCAGTGTCTGCTCTTTCTCTTTGCCGTTTCCAGTGTGACGATCTTTCCCTACGAATTACTTTGTTGTTTTTTTAGTTAAATTTCGCGTTTAACCACTCTTACATTCCGCCATAATAATCTCGAGATTGAAAAAATGAGAGGTGATTATTTGTTACAAATTTGTGATTGAGATGAGAGAACAAACGAATCTTCTATCGACGAGGGATGTGCTTCCATCGTTGCATACAACAGCTATACAATTCTGTTCGTCTGTAATACCGTTAACGGTGCCTTCGTGACCGATATAAAAGTCGTTTGTGAAGTTAAATGATTCCGTGTCCCATTCCATGACATATCCGTCTAAAGCTTTTAATGAGCACAATTTCAATGTGAAAATAGTGATAAATGATTTTCGTTCCGCAAAAGAGTTTTTGAGATTATAGACAAACATGTTGAGATAAAAGAATCTCCCTTGGAATTGAAGAGAAGAGATGTGATTGAATCACAATGAGAACAATTTTCAGTTGAACATGAGAGCTCGGGTATCACACTTTTAAAAGAAGATTGGTAAGATTGAGAGTTCACTCTCCCAAGAACATATTTTGTGTATTTTGGCTCCATCTCCCCTTTTGTTATTTATTGTGTTTTTAAATTTTTTTTCTCTTTTTAGTTTAGATTGTTTTATTGAAATAGTATAATTAAAAATATAAATAGTTTAGTATATTGAATAGTAAATAAAAGTAACAGGTAACCATATTTATATTTAATTATAATTATTATTAAAGTATTATTAAATATTATTAATTATTATTGAAAATACATAATAAAGTGGCGGGTGTAAAAGTTTGTTTTATTTTTCAAATTATAAATTGTATAAAAATAATAACCATAAATTATTTAAAATTTAAATAAATAAATAAATGTATACATAAATTAATGATTAAAAAATAATAATTATTACTACAAATAATTAACTTAAATAAACATGTATAGTCGGGTGATAAAGGGGGTTAATTTGGGACAGAAGTAGTTAATTTGAGTAAAAAACTATAAAATATAATTTATTTAACCATAAAAGTATTAGAAGGGTTTTTTCAATTAACTACTTTGAAAATAATAAAAGAAAACCATAACTATCTATTTTTGATATTATTCAATCTTTGAAAACAATGGAAGAAGAAGAGAAAGGAACCCTTGATGAAATAACCACAGGCAATCAACATAAAAAAGCAATTTAAATACAAGAAACCAGTTTAAAAACTGTATTTCAATATATATTCATGATGTATATGGTTAAAATGCCAGAGTTTAATGAATTAACAACAGTGTCAATTTTTGAAAGTGTCAGGGAATCACTGAAAAATCATCATTTGTTATTTCAATCTTTCAATCTTTCGTTGTTGAACCATTTCCATTGAGAAAAGATAAGAGAAAGACCATTTTAACATAAAAACAATTGGAGTTGAAAAAGAGCAGAAAAGAAATGAAACAAAGGAAAAAACAAAGGAAAAATTCTTTAACAAAACAAGTTTCAGACAAACCATAAAAAGTGCTGCGTTTTAGACTTCCACATTTTTTAAGTGAACAAATTGAGGTGTTTTTGTTTATTTTTGAAATAGAAATTTATAATTATTCAATTTATAATCATTTAAAATAAAAAACGATAATTTATATTATTATTTTAATTTTATGTTTATTTTGACCTTTAAATAGATTTTTTAAAAATTATAGTTTCAAAATTATATTTATCAAAATTAACTACCTTTGTCCCTTTTTAATGCCATTTATCCCCCGACTATAAACAATAATCAATGTTTTTAAATTCATTATAACATTATTATTATATCATTAAAAATAAAAAATATGTTAATTTTTAAATTATAATTAAAACATTTAAAATATTCTGAAAAAGAAACTCAAATTAAATTTAAAAAACTTTGCTACTTTCAAAAAAATTGGAATCACCCGAATATACATTGTTCTTAATACTGTTATTTAATCAAGATTTGTTTATTTCCTGTTTTATTTTTGCCAAATTGCGGTTTTAATTTTATCACTTTAAATAAATCATTTTCAAACTATAAAATTACAATACAAATATTAATAATAAACCAATAAATAAAGAATTGGAATGGAAAGAGGCAAAAATTAAAAAATGATTAAAAAAGAGAAAAAATTGTTGAATTTTTATTTCCGTTTTTCACTTTTTACGAAATCTTTTTTGCGTCTTTTTCATTTTAAGTTTTACAATATTCATTCATGAGTCTGTCAAATAGTAATCCACCTCGATCTCTCGCAAAACGCGTTCAAGAAAAAAACGAAGAACCGTGGGGAATTTTGATTTCGGATGACAAACAAAAGTGTGGTGATATTAATCTGTATGGACTTATAGTTTGTTATTAATTTAATAGCATTCATATTATACCCATTTCAAGATATATTATATTTTATCAGTTTATGTGTTATATTCTATAACATAATAATATAGTTACTAAAAAGTAACTATATTATTGGAGAATTATTATATACATTAGATATAATAATAATAAACTATAATAATTAACAAAGAGGCAGTTGTTGGACGAGAGACCCCACAGTTGGTTAATGCTCATAACACCATTTCTGCGATTCACCTTGCTATAACTCCGGAATTTACGCCCGAGTGTACATACAAGATTACTGATTTTAGTACAAATGGGACGTTTGTGAATGGACGTACAGTTGGGTATGGTCTATCCATTCGATTAATGTCGTACGATGAAATCAGCTTAGGATTTAAAGGACTTGAAGGGACTTTGTCGTTCACATTTGTTGGGTATAACGACGAGAGGTATCAAGCGCATGAGTGGATGTCACAATTTACTGTTCAGAAATGCATAGGGAATGGTTCTTTTGGGACTGTTCGCCGTGTCCGACACAACAAGAGTGGAGTGTATGGTGCGATGAAGTTGTATTCAGTTTCTGAGTCTGCGATTGGGTCTTCACGTGAAGAAGCCTTTGATGCTGAATTGAAGATCTTGAACGAACTAGCCCATCCGAATATTGTTTCAATGTTGTCTTATAAGAAGACCAAACTTACGACGTTTCTTGTTATCGAGCTTGCGGAAGGTGGGTCTTTACAAGATGAAATAGACCGATGTGGAGGACTATCATTGAATCGTACACGTCTTATAATGTATCAAATAGTCCAAGGAGTGAGGTATATGCATTCGAAAAAGGTAGTCCATCGCGACTTGAAACCGGACAACATCTTGTTAGCGCGCCAAAACTCCGATTGGGTGAAGATCACTGATTTTGGGACGGGGATCATGGCAAATCTTTTGAATAAAACGAACACGTTTTGTGGGACCCCGGCGTACATGTCACCGGAGATCGTCAGAGTACAAACAGAAAACGACAAGACGTACGATGCTAAGAAGAACGATTGCTGGGCGATTGGCATTATTCTGTATCAGGTCTTCACAGGGAAACTGCCATTTACGCCGACTGATACGTCGGATGAGGACTGCGGGATGACTGATCTGTTCCAAGCGATGAAGGAAGGGAATTTCTTCCCATACGAAGAACAACACTTTAAATCGAAGGAGGGGGCGAACGATGTCAAATACACTGTCCACTCCATTCTACAGTACACAGAAGTGGATCGCCCGGAGGCGTTTGAGATCATGGAAATGCCATTCTTTAAGAGCGTCAATGTGTTGATTGCATCTCTGAAGGGACTTGCGGAGGACGAAAACACTGCGAGCGTGTATGGCGGCAAAAATGAGGTAACACGAATGAAAGAAGCGGTCAAGATTATCGAAGAGACGATTAAAGAGAGAGAACAGGAGCCCGAGAAAACAAAGAACATGGAAAGCAATCCAAGAGAGATTAAACCCCCAACTGCTTATGTCGAACTACTCGAAAGGAATGCAAATACAACATCAGAAGACGATACAGAAGAACTCGACAAAAAGATCGAAGCTACGAAAGCGAAGGAAGTGGCGCCGATGGAAAAGGTGGAAAAGATAGAAGCGTAGTGTTTGGTAATGGAGTCTGTGGATTGAGGTTCTGTTTTCTGTATGTTCATTTACTTCCATTTTATATTTTAACTATTGAAGAATAGTTAAAATATAGAATTATAATATGGTTACAATAAAATATAAAAATAATAAACTTTTTTAATTTTTTTAATAGGATAAAAACTTCCGTTAGGAATCAAAATTCATTGAGTTGAATTTTTGTTGAAAAAAAGGAGAACAAACGAAAGAAGTTGTTGGCGATGAAGCTTGCTTTGAGGGCTCAAATGTTTTTATTTTTGGCGAAAAAGACGGAGTTGAGCGGGAAAAAGATAAGGGACAAAAATAGGCAAAACACGTGGAAATTGAAACTCTTATGGAAATGAGTTTCCAATAAAGCGTTTTGGTAAGAAAAGAAAGGAATTCCATCGCAAATTGAAACTTTTTTCGTTTTTTTTCAGATCAACGAATGGTGTTTAAATGTCTGATAAAAGAGTTGTTTTTGTGTGATAAACCGGGAAAACGCCGCAATTGATATTTTAACGGAATAAAAAAAGAGGTTATTCAAAAAGCAAAAAAATCATTTTGAGAGGCCCGAAATAGCGCGGAAAAGTTTGTCGGGAACGAAAAATCGGTGGGCAATTTTTTTGTTGTGTTGTTACGGTTTTGTTCGTGATTTGGGTGAATTGATGTTGATTTGGTTTGTGAATAATACAGGAATAGTAAACATATCATAGTTTTAAATGATTCAAAACTAGTACCTACTTAGTGAAGTAAACTATAGAGTAAACAAAGAAATTGAAAGGATGTGAAGAAAGAAGGACATTTTCTATTCTTATTGTAAAAGAATGGTTTTGGTCTGATAACTAACATGAAGAGAACGGCAAAAAAGACGTAGTACAATATAGTACAGCGCAAAACTGTCCATATAATACATCGTATTTTTACTAATAAGTTTGTTCTTCGATATTAATAAGATTCTCCAATGGTTTTAATCAGTTGCCGAATGAAAAGAAAAACAATTTATAAGAAACACCACCAGACGAACAATCGTAAAACTCTTACTTAGAAGAAACAAAGAAAACACGTGCAAGTTTAAGTCTTTTTGTCTCATCAAGTTGGGCACTTTTGATATTTTTAAAGAACTTTTCGTTGTGGTATTAATAGTTTTCATTATTTTCAATTGTTTTTCCCTTTTTAAGGACCTAGGGGTGATGTCGCGCAACATCGCAAATATATCAAAAGGTACATTTTGATCTTTATATGTACACGTCTCATTTATAAATCAATGTTATGTGATGCATAATGCCACAAGTGTGAAACCCATGCTATTTTGCCCAATACCGTTCAAAACCGAGTATCGTGCGCCACGTCATTATCAATAAAGACACACTTCAACAAAAGTTACAATAGAATGTCTAATTTTGTAAAGAACAGAAAACCCTTTTTCGGCGTTTCCGCAGTCTTTTACACTGGAGTAGTGAAAAAATAAACACCTTTTTCGTTCGACATTTCCTAAATAGTATAAATGTATTATATACAATAGATTATATACTATTAATTATAATACAATTGATACTTTTGATTAGTGTTTCCCGCCGAGCCAAAACTCTGCAACTAATGCGATTTGCTAGGGTTGTGCAAGCGACTCAAAAAACAAGAAAGACTTGTGAGGCGAATGTTCTTTTCGCGCCAAAAGGGTGGGAGTTTCAAAGAGAATTTTGCGCCCCGGATCCCAATAAGTCGGGGACTTCAGAGGAAAATTGAGACTTCCACACTATTGCAATCCAAAAACAGATTTATTTCAAAAGAAAAAACACCACACCAAAATTCCAAAAATGAAAAACAGGTTTGCGGGTATTTAATGCGAACTCCGTGGAATCAGTCAGCAGATGCAGACCGAGTCCTCGAGCGTCATCATTGAATCGTCACACGTCTCCGACTGTGAGAAGATGAAGCGGCAAAGGAAAGTTGGGATCACTTGGACGGAAGAAGAGGACCGAATGCTCTTAAAAGCTGTTGAAGCGTTGGGGACTAAACAATGGGTCGAGGTCGCCAAGTTGGTCGGCACTCGTTCAAGAAAACAATGCAGAGAGCGGTACGTCAATCACATCTGCCCAAATATCGACAAACGTCCGTTCACCCATTATGAGGACAAAATCATATGCAACTCATTTTATGTGCTTGGCAAGAAGTGGAGCAAAATAGCTGAAAGTTTATCGGGGCGCACGGCAAGGTCTATTAGAAACAGATTTAAGACTATCGGAGCAAATCAAAAAATCTCGTGTTTCTATGCGGCCGACAAAAATAATTATGCTGTCGTCTCAGGGGGGAAACTCTGGTGATTGTGTGGTATCACTGCTTGTAATTTCATTGTGAATCTTGTTCGTTGGTTTTTTAAAATGGTTTTTTTAACTTCATTTTCGTAGCTTTTGTATGACTTCTATTTCATTTGTGTGTTCTTGAAAGATTCTGATCTGGTTTGAAATACGTTCAATGTTTGTTGACTGGAAATATTATAAAAAAACTTACATTGCCTTTAGAGGCACTTTTACTGTCTTCTTTTCAAAGTCACATGGGAACAATTCAAATAGTTTCTTTTATATATTTTGTTGAAAAGTCGTATGAAAAATGGCGGTTGATTCAGGATAATTACTTGGATTTTGTGGGAAGATGGTAAGGATAATATAAAATGTCGAATTAAAATAATTCTTATTATCTATTGTCTCAAAAGACAACAAAGAAATTTTCTTATGTTTGAGGGCAAATGACTGAAAAACTATTACCACTTTGTTTTTATATTTTTTATTTGCTAAAATATTTAATAATTTTTATGAACAAAAGTGTTTTTTTATGTACAAAATGTCTATCTGTGGACTTAAAACGAGTTAATTAAAAACATAAAGTACTTAGAGTGTGTTGCTTAATTTTAATACGTTTATTGTAATTGAATAATATAAATGCTATGAGTTGAGGTTTTGAATTTAAACACATATTATTTAAAAATTCAATTTGTAGCTATTTAATGATAATCATTGATTATCAACACAAGTGATATTTTATTAATGTTTATCTTATATTATTATATATAATAATATATTATCCATTCAACACTCAATATTACATTTCATATACATTTTTATAAACATTTCGAGGTTATACAAAAATAAAAATGTTTTTAATCACAAAAACAATTCATATATTTTTATAAATAATTCGCTTGTTTTCAAAAACATTATGTTAAAAAAGTTTAACCTTAGCAAGTCAACTGAATCAACTTTTTTTGTGGAAAGGTGAAATCTGGATAAGATTTATCTAGATCATAATTTATTTTTAGAATAATTAAAAATAAATTCAAAACACGAAATCGATTAGTTTTCGCGCAAACTACTGGTCTTTACAGACCCATGTTTCCTATTTTCCATGTGTTCAAAATAGTCAACACTTGCTGTTACGAGACATACACATAAATTTTCATGAGAGCGCTTCGATTTTTATCAATTTTACATAATTTAAATTAGTTTCTGACACGCCGTTCTTAATTAAAGATCTTTTTAGTTCAAATACAAAAATAAAAAAAGTGACTTATTTTAAGTGAAAAAATCAAGGATATAAATTATCCAGTTTTCACTTCGTAAGGTTAAAATAAACAATTTTCTCTATTAATAAAATTAGAAAACCAAAATATTTTTTTATATAATTAATTATTTTATTAGTTTTAATTTAATATAACACTAAATCAATAATTGACTATTTAAATTGTATCATACAGTCATGCGAAAAAGCTGTCGCGTTTGGAAAAACCTGTCTCGGGTGGTAATGAACTATTCTAGTACTATAAACAAATGATCTGAAATAGAAAATGTTA